CTAGAAAACAAAGGAGTATAATTAATCTCTAGATTAATAATTAACTAAGATGATCAATTTAAATTCGTCCAAAAATTATTTCGGACAATGCATCCTATATGAAATTTCACACGGTTATCACATAAATAAAATCTTAAACTAATAAACGCACATAAGAGATAAAATCACGTTAACTAAATAGATGCTAATTAATGAAAAATATTAGAATCTTATGTTTATTATGTTTTAAATTTTAAAATATAGAATAGTTGAAGTTGAGGGGTAAGTGTTACAAATGATACTTCATGGGGTAAGTGTTACATAGGCTGTACTTCAGAGGTGCAAAATATATTTTAACCCTTGTTCTTTTATATACAGTTAAACCTCTATAAATTAATAAATTTGTGACCGATAAAGAAAAAAAATCGACCAATTTAACAAAAAAAAATTAAATAATTTATCATTTAATCATTATTAATTTATAGAGTTTGGATAAACATTAGAGAGTGGAGACACAAAACAATAACAAATTTGTTGAATTTGTTGCACAATACGGAAGCGCGAACATGTACGATACTTCATACTCACACAAACACAACCAAGAAACCAAATGAAACAGGAGACATGCGTGGTTCAGAGAAATAAATTCATTCGTCTAGAGTGGGAGCCAAATTTTACTCTATTTCCTATATAGATGTCGTTTTTTATATTAGCATAAGTTTTAATAATCCTAATAAATATGTCATGATTTTATGAAAATAGATATTGATAGACCAAAATACCCTTGTTTACTAGTTAATGCAGAAATAGTGTTGGGGAGTTAATAATGATATAATTAAAAAAATGTAATTAATGCAGCATTGAAATTATAAAATAACAAATAATATGAAACAAAAGAAATTCTCAAAAGAGACAAATATTGTTGAACATATAAAGTATTTGTATACTACGCAGACTTTCTAATTTGAGGGTAAAGTATATGATTGAGTAAATAATTCGACACTCTATCAAATGTTTGGATCATTGACTAAAGCCTATGATTGGGCAACTCCCAGACTCTCTATCCTCTATTTATTTGATAAATTATCCATCCAAATTTGTTCCGATTATTCAACCCATAGTGGTTGGTTTGTAGTTTTGCATGTGGTTTGACATAATTACCCTCAAGACATTAATTGCAATTTAAAAAAATATCTAAGTTTTGCATCACACGCCCGTGAATAGTCAGATCTCCAAATTTGGGATTGTTTACTAATTTTTCACGACAAAAATAAAAATAAAAAACCTAGAAGTTAGTTGCGATTTTATGAGGATTGGGCGAGAAAGATAACGTCGGTCATGGTGTAAAAACCCTAGAATAAATCAAGAATTTCGATCCGGTGAAAAATAGCGGAAATAAATTACCTATCCTAGATTACATTATGATTTAGGGGTACTTTGATATTTCTAGCATTAGTTCAAGTAAAAGAAATGTAGTTACATTGGATACTTTATCAAACAAGCCAAACAATGGATTAATTGACAATTGAAAAGTGGCAAAAAGTTTATGATCACAAGGAAGCAAATTGCTAAATTGAATTACACATTCAAGAATTACAATCATCACTCAACAAATAACATACTAATTTTCAAATCAGAAAAATTTACAAAAAAAAATAAATAAATAAATAAATAAAAATTCGCTCTACTTTGGTTGAAAACCTGAAGAACTATCAAGATAAGAACCACTGTAGGCAAACAGACTCTCATCACTATAAGGATGCTTACTCGCTTTGTTCGCGTCTACGTAAGTCGACGAACTCGGTGTTGACTCAGCATTAGGGTTTATCCCCGCGATTTCCATCGTATTCTCAATCTCCTTAACAACCTCACTCATCGAAGGCCGATTCGACCCTAGTTCTTTAACGCACCACAAAGCCAAATCCACAAACATTTCGACGCTCTTTGTCGACATTCTGGAAGCTACTGCGGGGTCTAGAAGCCCTTGTAGGTTATACATACTTTTCGACTTATCCATCGATGACATCACTTGTCTTACAATATGCTTATTCTTTTCGATCGGAAGTCTTGCAGTCAAAAGTTCGAACATCAATATTCCGAAGCTGTACACATCGCTCTTTTCCGTCAGTTGCTGTGTCATGTAGTATTCCGGATCCAAATATCCCTAATTTAAATTAAAAAAAAAAAGAGTCGATTTTTTCGTTCAAAAAAAAAACTCGAATGAAAATAAGAAAATGATGAGTGATATATATGTATGTATGCTGACCATTGTGCCTTTAACTTGAGTAGTGACGTGGTTCCTTTCGGAATCATGCATAATCTTAGAGAGGCCGAAATCGGCAACTTTGGCGTTGAGGCGTTCGTCTAATAAGATATTGTTCGATTTGATATCTCTGTGTATGATCGGAGGGTTTGCCTCGTCGTGTAAATATTGTATCCCTTTGGCTGCTCCGTGTGCTATTCGAAGCCGCCTCATCCAATCTAATCGTATTCCCGATTTTCCTTTTGATCACCGAAAATCAAGAAATGATATCTTAGTTCACAATCCCCTTTCATTTTAGTTGCAACTTTTGTGCATTTCTTTATTCATCGACACGAAAAACAAAATAAAATTTAAAGAAATACGAACCTGAAATACTATCTCTCAATGTTCCATTTGCAATGAACTCGTAGACGAGCATTTGTTCGCCGTGATCGAAACAAAAACCGACGAGACTGACGACATTCTTGTGATGAACCCTAGAGAGGAGTTCGATCTCGGTTTTGAACTCGAGACGGCCTTGCATAGATCCTTGCACGGCTCTTTTAATAGCAACCAATTGTCCTTTCGCAAGGGTTCCTCTATATACCTGAAAAAAAAAAGGTAGAAAATTTTCGATATGAAACAACTTAACTTCTCTTTAAATAAAATAGGGTAAATTACAACCACCTCCCTGAGGTATGGTTAAATTACAAAACCCCCTCTTATTTGGATAATTACAAAAAAACCCCTCAACTATAAATCTTCTTACACTTCCACCCTTGCGGTTTCAAATTAAGTGGAATCTTCGAGATTATATGGAATATTACCACTTCTGTACCTGTTATATCCCATTCAAACTCCACATTTTGAAACAAGATAATCGTAATATGTTTTTTGGCTTGTATATATCAGATTGTGGTGCATTAGAAACTGTAAAACGAGTACAAACTAGGGCACATTCCACGAAATCTAGATGATTATGTTGAATTTAACACCATAAGGTGGAGATGTAAGAAAAAATCATAGTTGATGGGTAAGATGTAATTATCCAAACAAGAGGGGTTTTTTCCATAAATTGACCATACCTCAGGAGTGGTTGTAATTTACCCAATAAAATAACAAAAAAAGAAGATGAAAATTTCTAACCCTTCCATAGCCGCCACTTCCAATCGCATTGGATTCTGAAAAGTTATTCGTGCTTTCTTTAAGTTCTTCGAACGTGAAAGCTTTGGCTCCTTTCAGCTGAGGAACTGCTCCGCTGTTCTTACTCGGGTCCCACAATGCTGAAATCGCGAGTAAATAAAATGGTCACTAAATTTAGCAATGAGCTACAGTTAAACCTCTATAAATTAATACAGGCGGACTAGCAAAATTCTATTAATATAGCGATATATTTAATTATCGAGCTGATAATTTAGTAGGTTTTTACCGAATCGGGACCGAAAGAAACCATTATTTAAGCGAGGTTATTAATTTATCGAGTATTAATTTATCTTAAAAACATACATACCGAAAGGATCATTCATTCGGTCGGCTGTTTCGGCTCTTGTCCTCTGTCGAATCGCATAAACACCTGCAACTATTAGCAGCAATAACAGAACAGCACCGCCAACTGCCGCTCCGATGATAACGCCCGTGTTCGATGACTTTTTCGATGGCGAACCCTCCACCGAAACTGAAAAACAAAAGTAACGGACATGAAAGAAAAAAAAAAAAAAAACAGATTTAATTCAAGTGGAAATCAAGAAGTTATATTTATAATATTTTGACATTTGCTACCTTGAAAGTATGGATAGCTACGGCCGATGAAAAAGAAGGGTCCGAATTCAGGCGGAGGCTTGAACGTTTGATTGCTCAGCGTAAATCCGATCCCGGAAATCGCGGTGCGGTTGAAAAACTCTTGGCCCGACGGAAAGACTTGCAGATCAAGCGAAAGGTAATTATCGATGTTTCGATTCGGATTGCTGACAGAAACGGAATCCACAGGGAGGGAGCGAGACTTGAACACGGACATCAGTTTGTTTTCGAGAGAAACAAAAATAGTCCCGTTTCTGTAGTTTGAAAACGATGGGGCTCGGAAAATAAGCGTCCCCGTGTAAGGGTAGGCGCATTTACAAGTCGGGGACGAAACGGTTTCCGAACTGCAATTCGAAGGCATGCAGTTTTGCGGCGGTGTTGAGTATGAATTGTTAGACGGTTGAGGAATGGTGCAGTAACTCTCTTGCCCTCCTTCGTTGCATATCGGGTTTCCGACGAGTCTAGCGCATGCACGTATGAATATACATTATATATAGAAAGAAAAAAGATTAAATGGTTTAGAGAGTGATGTATATGTGTATTTTTACATGACTTGAACGGTGAAACCAGCTCGTTGAGTGAAGGCGTCGATCAGATTGTTTTGTAAATCGATGATTTGTAGCTGGTTACTGTGGTTTGAGCCGATGTTTAAGGTACCGTTGATTTGATTGTTCTTCAATGTTCTGATCAAGAAAAAAAAAATCGACATTTTTAGTCCTTCCTGTCAAATTTTCGTTAGTACTGAATCAAGCGTGTGCTCATATGACTGCCTTAACTGACGAAGTAACTGTAAATCGACATAAATGACCAAAAGTGTTAACATATTGAAAGATGAGGGATTAAATATGATTTTTTTTTAACATAAGGGACCAAATGTGAAATTGTTGCAAAATTAAGGGATGAAAACTATAAATTTCCCAAAAGATGTATGATTATATTACTGGAAATATACAGTTTTCATCACCGAAGTTTGCACTGTTCCACATTTGGTCCTCTATGTTCACAAAAAACATATTCGGTCCCTCATGTGTCAAAAACTCAACACTTTTGGTCTTTTTCGCCAATTTTTCGTTAGTACTAATGAAATCAAACGTGTGCCCACGACTGCGTTGACTGGTGAAGTAACGGTAAATCGACATAAATGACAAAAAAACGTTGAATTATTGAAACATGAGGGATCAAATGTGAGTTTTTGTAAACATAAGAGACTAAATGTGGAATCAATGCAAACTTAAGGGGTGAAAACTGTAATCTTCTCATAATAGTGTCCGAAGAGTTAACTTACACCGTTTGCAACTGGAGAAGGCTAAACAGAGAAACTGGAAGTGATCCTTGAATTTTTGTGTTTTCCATTATCCTGAAAAATCGGAGTTTTTATTGTTCGATTAGTCGTAAGATAATAAAAACACACGCGCGAGCGAGAGCGCACACACACACATTCTTTAGAGACATACAGTGTAGTCAAGGACTGCAAAGATGAAAACCATGGTGGAATATCCGTTGCATCGAATGAATTATTGCTCATGTCCCTGCAAATTTTTAAATACCGGTTAATGAATATATAAATAGGGTAAATTACAAAAATATCCCTGAACTTAGGCTAAATTGCAAAAAATATCCCCACTTATCCGTAATTACCAAAACCCCCAACATTAGTTTCCATCTAAATACCGACTCCCTTACGCTGTGATTTTTCGCACAATCTTTTTTATTCCAGGGAATATTCCCCGAAAATGCCGATTCTATCCCTATAGAGTATAGACGTGTCATTTCTTTATGCTGTTTTTTAAAGAAATTACCCTTAGCTGCCTTTACACGGAATCTTTATTCTTGTTCAATAGTACATTCACAACTTGTTTGTATTACTGTTACACCATGAGGCTAATATCTGTCTTTAAAGAATAGCATAAAGAAATGTCACGTTTGTAGGGGTATAATTGGTATTTTACATGTAAATTCTATAGTAACTTACACATAGTGGAGCAAATTCATCCCAGTTAGATTGGGCAATGATCCAGTCAGCTTATTATTTGCCAAGAACCTGAAAATGTTCAATCGATTTTATTTATTTAATTCTATTTATTTTTATATTTTATTATTAAGTAAAAAAAAGAAATTGAAGATTAATGCAATCAAATTACTTTAATTCTACTTACAGCTCCTGGACAGAGGTGAGGTTGTTGAAGTTTGAGGGAACTGGTCCACTCAGTGAGTTCCTATCGAGCCGCCTGTTCGATCAGACAAAACCGATAACTTAAAGAAAGAAAAAAAATAGACGAGAGTCGTAATATTTTAACGGGTAGCGACGATACGTACACAACCTCCAGTGTACGTACAAGCCCCATTGTAGAAGGGATACTTCCAGTTAGCTGATTGTTTTCGAAAAGCCTACGCAAAAAATAGCCGTTATATTTAGTACAGTTAAAACATCTATAAATTAATACAGTCGAGATCACTAGTAAAATATTATTATATTTAGCGAAATATTAAATCATCGAACTAATAATTTAATAGGTTTTTACAGAGTCCGGACCAGAAGAAACTATTATTTAATCGAGGTTATTAATTTATCGATCGAGGTACTACTGTACAAGGGAAAATTACAGTTTATGTCCCTAAACTTTATCACTAAAACGATTTATGTCCTCAAACATTTCAATCCACGAAATATGTCCTTAAACTTGCCACTTTTGATCACTTTATGTTCTGCCGTTAACGTCGGCAGCTAACTTCGACGGAAATAGCACGCGTGGCTCACGTGACGTCTATGTGGCCGTTAAATGTCGTGCTGGACAACCCCCATTGCCTACTTGGGCGACGAAACGTGATGTGGAGCGACACGTCATTCTCCTCCCCTATGTCTATTCTAAAATCCCTAATTCTCCATATCCCCAATGAACTCGTGAATCCAATCCCTAAAACCCCATTTCGAATCCTTCAATTGAGGTGAAATTCGAAAAGAGCAGAATCGTCTGTTAATCCATGGCCATTTTTCCTGGTGTTTTACCAGCAAAATAGCCCAATAAATAAATGCCGAATGTTTCCTCGATTTCACTTTCACCTTGAGGCTGAAATATCATGTCTTCTTCCACTTATTTGGGGAAGTCGGGGAGCTGGAATCCGTTCTTGGGCACTCTATTATTGGCGAAAAAAGAATTATATGCAGCTTTGATAGGTGTGGCATGTTTTTTTTTTCCGGAATTGGTTCAGACATTTTGTCGAACACCTTCTGGGCAGGTTCTGAAACTGCTGAGTTGGGTAGAATTTGTGCCATCTTCACCATCCTTGTGCTCGCTTCATCGAGACCACAAGGGGCACAAGCATCAGCAGACGAAGAATCACACGTTTACCTTCTTCCTCTCGATTGCAGCCATGTGTTTGCACGTGAATCTGCTGTTCTTTGAGAAGGGAAAAACTCTTCAAATGTGAGAATGTTTGGATTTTTTATGGGTTTATGACTTCGATTTTAGTATGGGTTCAAGCAAGAATGCAGATTGGATTGAAAATTTGGGAATGGGTTGAGGTGATTGAAATTGTGAAGTGTGGGAAAATTAAGGTTTATGGGAATGAAATGTGATTTGGGATTTGGGATTTGGGAGGTGAGTTAGAGGAAATTAGTATATTCTTGTGCCACGTCAACATTTATATTCAATATATTATTCCACGTCACATTTAACGGCCACATAGACGTCACGTGAGCCACGCGTGCTATTTCGGTCGAAGTTAGCTGCCAACGTTAACGGCAGAACATAAAGTGATCAAAAGTGGCAAGTTTGAGGACATATTTCGTGGATTGAAATGTTTGAGGACATAAATCGTTTTAGTGGTAAAGTTTAGGGACATAAACTGTAATTTTCCCACTGTACAATGACATATATGAAATTATGGCGTTCTTACAAATGTATGAGAGCCAAGTTTGAGTTAAACAGCTGGGGTGGTATTACACCGGACAACTGATTCTTTCCGAAATGGCTGCAAGAAAAATTAACGGTATTCGAACGTTGAAACATTAAATTATAAAAAAAAAAAAGAAAAAACGAGGAGTACAACGTACAAGTGCTTTGTATTGACGAGCATATCGAGACCAGGTGAGGTTCCATCGGAGACGGGGATTGTTCCGGTAAGCTTATTATCGGCTAGATCCAGCCAATAAAGATTTAACAAGTTACCGATGGAGGGTGGTATCGAACCAATGAAGTTGTTCGAGTTAAGCGATCTTTATTGCCGGAAAAAAAAAAAAAACGGGTCGGGGTTAGAATTAGATATTAACTAATTACGGACGAAAGATTCGTTAAGATACTTACAAGTATCTGAGCTGTTGTAGAGAGCCGATTGAGGGTGGTATGGGGCCGGAAAATCCGCAACCGACGAGTATTCTGAAATACATAATAGAGTTGACTTTCTTGAAAACGAGTGTATTATTTGCGTCGACCGATAATTAATTAGTTACGATTTTTTTCTTTTTTGTTCTTACAAGCTCGATAGTTTCTTGACATTTCCGATTCCCGAAGGAAGAGATCCAGTCATGCCTTTGTTATATGACAGGTCCCTATACATACATAAAAGCAAATTAGTATATACTATATATCAGCAAAATCGCACACACAAACTTACAAGGTCTGCAACTCGGTCAATCCCGAAATGTCCGAAGATAGTTGACCGGTCAAGTTGATGCTCGCTAACGTGCTGAAAGTTTCGACAAGAAAAAACAGTTAGTTAGTTAGTTAGTTAAACACCGAAATATGCATCTTCCTACACATATGCGAAAACTGTATGTTCATTATTTATTACATGGACACGACGCGGTCGTTCTTGCACGTAATCCCGTCCCAAACATCTCCACAAGGATCGGACCCGACCCAATTCGGCGGAACGTTAATCCATGTGTCTTTCAACGCTTTCAACGCAACATCTGCGAAACAAATCAAAAACAACATTATATTGTACGACGATGTAGTATTATTTCAAGAACCGGTACTTTTAAGCAGGCTTTTGGACAACTTTTAAAAGGGTCGAAAATATAATTCGATAAGAATCGAAAGAAATAAATAACCCTTGGATCGATAATCAAGAACTAGCAAAACTTACAGTCGTTTGAATTCGTGAGTGCCGCGATAGATAAAACTTGGATAAACGCGAGCAGCATAGTGAGATGGATTCCCGAAATCATGATTACTCGATAAACGAACAACGACAACCGAATAGCTATATATATATATATATATATATATACATATGAACTTCAGAATGTAACAATATATATATTATGAGTACACCGAGAAACCTTCAAATATGTAACAGCTATATTACAGCAATGGCTTGTGCCCAACACTCACTATATATTTTATTTAATGGAATAGTATATATATATATATATATATATATATATATATATATGTTTTCATCCTCAAATTTTGGTCAGACCGAAATAGCAGATGGTGCTGAAAATGTCAAAGTATATACGTTCAAATCATGACTATACATTGAAGTAAACTATATATATCGACCTGCTCCTATATACATGTTGTAATTAATATAATTAAACAAAGTCATTATTGAAAGTTTGAAACATATTTAACTGAGCAATTTGCAGCAAATATGGATTGTCATTTTTGCTGAAATCATGCTTTAAAGACTTTGTTTGATTTTATTTTTATTGTCCTGCTTTTGATTTAGCCAAGTCATTGAAAAGATAGACCATTTTTTGCAATTTTGGTGCTAGTGATATGCTTGCTGCCAAATGAAGCAGCAGGCATCGGTATAGCGAAGTCACCGGATGCGGCTGTTGCTCATCGGCTCTATGGACTCGACCGGGCCCTAAACACCTTGGGGCACCGATAGCATGTCGGGAATAAGGGGGAACATACTGGACATAAGCAATCCCTTGATTGGGGCATCGTGAATGCGAGATGCCAGCGGAATGATCAGTCGAAACCTAACTAGCATGAGATTCAACAATCGAAGCTATTGTTCAACAAAACAACAATAAAGCTACCAAGAAATATCAAGGATAAATTAATAAAAAGCCCTAATGTTTAGGTAATTACAACCACCCAGCAACTATGAATTTTCTTACATGTCCACCATTGTCGTATCAAATTTAGTCGAATCTTCTACATTATGTGAAATATTATCCAGTTTATACCCATTTTACTTACCCCATTTGAGCTCCACATTTCGTGCAAGATGATCACAAGTTGTGTTTCTTGACTTGTAAATCTTAAATGTATTTTTGCACAAAACGAGTACAAACGAACAGTCCATGAAATCTTGAAGATTATGTTGAATTTGACACCATAAAAGTGGTCGTGTAAGAAATTTCATAGTCGATGTCTGGTTGTAATTATCTAAACATAATAAGTTTTTTCGTAATTTGACGTTACATCATGGGTGACCGTAATTTATCCAAATATCAAGAAATAGAAAAAATTGATTGATAAATATGGGCAAAGTATCGTCACCCAAAAACAACCAATAAACCAGAGCATAATACATCATTTGAAAGAAAAAAAACCGATCTTTTTCTTCTAAAGCAACAAGTATTGACCAATCATCGATTACTGCTGCTCCTCCTTCAAATCAAAATCATCAGTCTTCCTCTTCTTTTCGGTGTTGCCGGAGATGGGAGCTTTTGGTGCTGGCGGCGGTGGCGGTGGCGGCGTTTGGAGGAGTAGTCTGGTGTGGGTGGGGGTAAAGGGGTGGAAATCGGAACGGAATTTCCGATTTCCGCCGACTCCGATCCGATTATTTCCGATTATGGAATTAATTTTTGTACTCCGATTTCCGATTTTTTCCGAAAAAATCGGATCGGAATCGGAATTAACTATAAAATCTCCGGAATTTCCGAATTCCGATCCGAAAATGATTCCGAAATATTCCGATTTTTCATATATATTAAGTAAGTTATATATACAGATTTTTATATTAAACTAATGCAGCAACTTGGGCTGGACTGTAGAATTATTTTTATAAATATATTAAACATTTGGCCCATATTTTTTGGCCCATTTGACAAACTTACAATTACCCTACATGATTGCAACCTAAAAACCTAAATTCATTTTTCTTTGTTGCGCCGCCGTACTGCTTATGTTTCTTCTTTGCTTCGATCCCCTTTCTTCGTTCTTGTTCTTCTTTGGTTTCCTCAATCTGATATCTTCATTGTTATTTTTTCAAGTTATCCGCTTCGTTATCCTCTTCGTCACTACAGTTCTACTACCAGTCGAAATATTGAACCGATAATGCTCAACTCCTTTTTTTTTTTTTTTGAATTTCAATGTTTTCTTGTTATTCCACGAGTTATACCAATTGTTCACCCTGTGGAGGAATTATTCGTTGCTGCTTTTCGGTTTATGGTTTTTTTTTCCGATCTGCACGACTTTTTTCTTATTCTTCCCTTCAATCCAGAAAAAAATCGGAAATTTGGAAATTCCGAAGAAATCGGAATCGGATGTGATTTTCAGATTCCGAAATTTTCGGAATCGGAATCGGAATCAAGATTGGTGTTCCGAAAAAAATCGGAATTATTCCGAAAAGCCCTTATCCGATCCGATCCGTCCGATTTACACCCCTTCATTTATTTGGGTAATTGATGAATTACAGACACGGACGAATTTGCCCTTAAAGAGGGCAACCATGTTTCTATAATTTCAAAATGGTCTTCCAAGTTGTTAAAACCTAATCTTTTTGCCCCTACAAATACAATATTTTTCTTTTCTAATTAAACCTCTAAAGATAAAGGGAAAAAAAAATCATCCAAATTTAGAATATTAAATACTTTATAATTTATTCATTGTTAATTTATAGAATTTGGATAAATACTTGACAATGAAGACACTAAAACATAACGGAAGCGCGAACATGTACGATAACCCAATGAGACAAGAGATTTACGTGGCTCGGAGAAATAAATTCATGCGTCCGCAGTAGGAGCCAAGTATTATTTCAATACTAAATGGCTCTTTAGGGGCTTGAGGAAATAGGGTCATTTGACTGAGATCAACTCCCCGACTCTCTATCCTCTATTTATTCGACAAACTATCCACCCGAATTTGTTAAGATTATACGATCCATAGTGGTTGGTCGGTGGTTGTGCTTGCGGTTTGACATAACATTTGAAAGTATAAAAAAGTTATGTGCAACAGAATCAAATCATAAGGGGCTTAAGTGCTATTTATCCCAATTTATTTGATAAACTATCCACCCAAGTTTGGTCCGATTATACAATCAATAGCGGTTGGTGGTTGTGTAAAAGCCAAAAGTCAATGGCGATTTAACGAAGATTAAGCGAGAGAGACAACTTCGGTCATTGTGTAAAAGCCCTAGAATAAATCAAGAACTTTGATATGGCGAAAAATAGCGGAAATAAATTAATTTTCCTATATTTAATAAGGGATATTTTCGTATTTCTAACATTAGTTCAAGTAGAAGAAATATGTTGTATTGGATACTTTATCAAACAAACCAAACAATGGATTAATCGGCAACGAAAAAGTGGCAAACAGATAGGGGGCGGCTATTTTAAAAAAATAGATAATAAATAGATAATGACATTAATACTCATAATGAAAATCAATACCACACTAATATTAAAAAGGGGCTCTTTCAGAAAACCCCCTCATTATTTTTTTTAATGGAGAGAGATCCAAAATATTTCATTCCATTTGAGAAAATCCCACACCCATTTTGAGCTAATTTGTTTTCCAGCTTTGCCCCCGCCCGCCACTTCATCACTAGGTCACGCGCTCAGCAATTTTTTTTTTTTTTGTTTTTCCATTTTTTTTTTCCGTTCCTTTATGTACCAGTTTTCTTAATCGACTATGGATCATAGTCGATTAGCCTTAATCGGCTATGCTTCATAGTCGATTAAGGAAATTCTTTAATTTTATTCTTTTTTGTTTTTCAATTTTTTTTTTCTATATCAGTATATATTCAACTAAGATGAAGCATAGTCGATCAAATCAAAACTGCAAAAAAATGCAAAATCAACTATATTTTACAAAAAAACAAAAAATATAAAAACATTATAATTGATTTATACAATTGGAATCAATAAACAAAAAAACAAAAAAAACAAAAAAACAAAAAAAAGGAAAATTGGAATCGATCAACTTTAATCGACTACCAGAACATAGTCGATTAAGAATCTGCTACTAAAAATAACAAATTTCAACTGCGAAAAAATGCAAAATCAACAATATATTACAAAGCAAAAAATATAGAAACATTATAATTGATTAATACAATTGAAATCAAGAAACGAAAAATCCAAAAAAAGTAAAAAAAAAAAATGGAGTCGATCAACCTTAATCGACTACCAGAACATAGTCGATTAGCTTAATCGACTATGAATATGTACATAGTCGATTAAGGTTTCAGCCTGCGTGAAATTCTCTACACGCGCCGTTTTCCGCCCAATCCACCAAAAAACCCTAAATCTGCCTCCCCATCGTCACCACACCGCTGCCACAAACACTATTCAACCAATCCCTATCAAGAATAAAATAAATAAATTAAATAATTCATTCATAAAAACACAAATTAGCATTTCAATGTCCACAAAAAAAAAAAAAAAAAGAAACGATTCAAGTTATTTGTCAAAACCAACATCAAAAAATAATATAAAAAAAAAAGTAAATACCTTCACCAACATCAATTACAACAGCGATTTTCTCATGTCTCATCCTCATAGCCGTCAACCAACTGCGTCTTCAACGACGAGCGCCAATCATCATCTTCAACGTCGTCGGTGGAAACCACCGCCGCGAACGATAGATCCATCACCACCCTTCACGCGGCGGCAGGAGGCGGTGACAAACACTCTCCACCACCACCACCACCATCGGTCGACGTTTTCATTTTCTTCCGAATTTCAGTCTAAGAGAAGAGAGAAGAGAGAAGACGAGAAGACAGAAGAGAGAAGACGAGAAGACGAGAAAAGAAAAAGAGAGAACGGCAAATGAAATGGGTTAGGGTTTTGAAGAGATTTAATATAATAAGGGTGATTTTGGAATTATTAAAATAATATTTGGGTATAATATTAGCTAAGAGGGTTTTCTCTAATTATTTTTAGGAGAGGGTGTTTCCTTAACTCATTTTACTAGATGAGGGGTTCTTACTAATTATCCCTATTAAAAAAATTAAAAATCTCATTTTTCTTTATTTTAATATCACACACACACACACACACACACACACACACACACACACACACACACACACACACACACACACAAACCTCACACTCCTCTTCTTATTTCTTCACAAACACTCTCCTCCACCTTCTTCTTCTTCTTCTTCTTCTTCTTCTTCACAAATCCTTCAAAAAACCTCACAATCAAAACCTCACAAAACGTGCAAAATGGAGTTAGAAGACAACAAAATTGTAGTTTGCATACAAGGAGAACCCATTAATGTATGTATCCATGTCTTTTTTGAGCTTTGAAATCGATTTTCAAGTTTTGCTTCTTTTTTTTTTAATTCCGTACTCAATTTTCGACACTTACATATCGAATTTTGTATTTTAATTCGACATATTAGTGTCAAAAAACAGTCAAAATTTTGACACCTGGGTGTCGAAAAATGAGAAAAAAATAGTTAAAATTTGACACCAAGGTGTCCAGATTTTGATTGGTTTTCGACAACAATGTGCCGACATTTTGACAAAATTCGACACCTTGGTGTTAAATTTTAACTGTTTTTCCCCCACAATTTCCAACACATGCATGTCGAAAAAACGCAAAAAATCAACATATATGTTTAGAAAAATGGGGACGGGTTTAAAAAAAAACTTGAAAATCGCCAAATTCAAGAAATACATTGATACATAACTGAATGGGTTCTCCATCCATGTAATCTACTATTTTATTGTCATTTTATTGTCCCGTAACTTCGTTTCGTAAGGTCTGTGAGGTTTTGATTCTTTGAATTTGAAGGTTTTTTTGGGTGTTATGTGAGGAAGAAGAAGAAGAATATGAGAGTTTTGTGTGTGGTAATTAAACAAAGAAGAATAATATTTTTTATATTTGTGTGGTCCTGTTTTCCAATAAGGTGTATTTAGGTGTGAAAGTCGGATGGATCGGATCGGAATAAGCCTTTTCGGAAAATTTCCAAAAAAAATCGGAAGTACAAAATCAATTCCAATTCCAATTCCAATTTCAAAATTTTCGGAATCTAAAAATTCATTCCAATTCCAAAATGCTCGAAAATTTCGGAATTTCGGAAAAAAATCGGAAATCACATAAGCTTTAAAATTTCAAAAATTAGCCGAGATTTTCTAAAATGTTCATAATATTTCAAAAATAAGAACATCCACGTCGATAAAAGTAAAATTAATAACTATTAAATTCAGTTAAAAAAATAAATAAAAATAAACACAACATAATATCTAATAAAACTTCTAACAACAATTCATTATGTCAAAATCCTAAAACAAAACTTACAGTTGTATTTTTCGGAAAAATAAGTATTATATAATATATATTATTTATAGGTGTACTTTTCGGAAAAAAATCGGATTATTTCGGAATAAATTCCGGAATTAAATCGGATCGTAAATCGGAAATTCCAAATTTATTTTATATAATTCCAATTCCAATCCAAAAAAATCGGAAATATTCGGAAATCGGAATGAAAAAAGTTGTTCCAAAATCGAAACTTTTCGGATCGGAACCGGCGGAAATTGGAAATTCCGTTCCAACTTGCACCCCTAGGTGTATTAATTTCATTGCCTATTTCCTTTATTGAAATAGCCGCCCCAAGACGGCTATGATAATTGATATATATAAAAAAAAAAAAAAAAAAAAAATTGCTAAATTGAATTAAACATGGATTTTTTCAAGAATAAATTACAAATCATCACTCAAAACAATCTTTCTCCTTTTTACATGCCACTCTTTCCTCAAGAGGCTTATAAATCCAAACAAACAAAATAAAATGCTCAATTTTCAACATGAGCAGAATTTAAAATAATTTTTGCAAACAAACAAAAACCAAAATACATATCAGAAAATTTACAAAAATAAAATAATTAAGAAAAAAAAAAAAAACCCTCTACTTTAGTTGAAAACCTGAAGAACTAGCAAGATTAGAACCACTGTAGGCAAACAGATTCTCATCACTATAAGGATGCTTACTCGCTTTGTTCGCATCTTCGTAAGCCGACGAACTCGGTGTCGACTCGGCATTAGGGTTTATCCCCGCGATCACCATCGTATTCTCAATCTCCTTAACAACCTCACTCATCGAAGGCCTATCAGATCCTAAGTCTTGAACGCACCTCAAAGCCAAATCCACAAGCATTTCGACGCTCTTGGTCGACATTCCGAAAGCTACCGCGGGGTCTAGAAGCCCTTGTAGGTTATACATATCCTTCGATTCATCCATCGTTGACTTCACTAGTCTTACAATATGCTTATGATTTTCGATCGGAGGTCTTGCGGTCAAAAGTTCGAACAACAATATTCCGAAGCTGTACACATCGCTCTTTTCCGTCAGTTGCCGTGTCAAGAAGTATTCCGGATCCAAATATCCCTAATTTAAATTAAAAAAAAAAAGTCGATTTTTTCATTTTAAAAAAAAAACTCGAATGAAAATAAGAATATGATGAGTACTATATATATATATATATATATATATATATATATATATATATATATATATATATATATATATATATATATATATATATATATATATATATATAACTTGAGTAGTGACGTGGCCCCTTTCGGAATCATGCATAATCTTAGAGAGGCCGAAATCGGCTACTTTGGCGTTGAGGCGTTCGTCTAATAAGATATTGTTCGACTTGATATCTCTGTGTACGATCGGAGGGTCTGCCTCGTCATGTAAATATTGTATCCCTTTGGCTGCTCCGAGTGCTATTCGTAGCCGCCTCATCCAATCTAATCGTATTCCCGATTGTCCTTTTGATCACCGAAAAAACAAGAAACGACATTTTAGTTCACATTCCCTTCTCATTTAGACGAAAAAAATATAAAATCAGAAATTTATTTAATTTACGAACCTGAAATACTATCTCTCAATGTTCCATTTGCAATGAACTCGTAGACAAGCATTTGTTCGCCTTGATCGAAACAGAAACCGACGAGACTGACGACATTCTTGTGATGAACCCTAGAGAGGAGTTCGATCTCGGTTTTGAACTCGAGACGGCCTTGCATAGATCCTTGCACGGCTCTTTTAATAGCAACCAATTGTCCTTTCGCAAGGGTTCCTCTATACACCTGACAAAAAACGTAGAAAATTTTCGACACGAAATTTCGATAAACTTATATCCAAGAAAAAATTTTATATGAAAATTTTCTAACCTTTCCATAGCCGCCACTCCCGATCGCATTAGATTCCGAAAAGTTATTCGTGCTTTCTTTAAGTTCATCGAACGTGAAAGCTTTGGCTCCTTTCAGCTGAGGAACCGCTCCGCTGGTCGTACTCGGGTCCCACAATGCTGAAATCGCGAATAAATAAAACGGTCGCTAATTTTAGCAACGAGGTATTTGTTGGGAAAATTGGTTAAAAGTTGAGTCATAAACAACTTTTGATCGATATTAATGTATGGTCTATTTGATTATTTAAATCAACATTTGGATTAGATTAATATAAAGCAATTTGTGGTGAATGAAAGTTATTAGTCCAAAATATGTTGAAATAAGGAAAGTGGAATTTTGAGCTATCGCACACTGGAAAAATAGTGATGCATTGATCTATTTATATATCTCAATGTTGGACATAAGGGTCAAACTCTTAGGACATAAGACTTTGTTTGGGAGAAAGACTTATATGTTATAAGTTTCGAATCATGCGCGCCGCCGGCCGGTCACTCAGGTCGGATTTGGATTTGGAGGCCCAAATAACTATATTAATTTTTTTCCTAAAAACATTAGGACATGGGCCGTCAACCCATTGGACTCTCCTTACCCGAAGCCCATCTCAAACGGTCCAATTGGTGCGGTCGAACCAATGCAGACCAATCGGCTCGGCTCAACTCGAAATGGTGTAACCGATTCGACCCCAACGGCTCTTTAGCCGAAACAGTACAAATCCAGGGCAAACCGGTGGATTTTTGTACTTTTTACTCCAAAGGACACTACTTTTCAAATCTTATAAATAGACCCCGTTTTTCCCATAATCCCTCACTTCAATCCGGAATCCTTTTCAGCTTTATGCATTTCTAGCCTACCCTTTACAGATTCTCTCGAAAAGTTCTACACAAAGTATAGTTCGTCGTGCTTGGGATTTGGAGTGCTCTTGGAAGACGATTTCTACAACAGTATTTAGGAGAGATAGATTGAATTATCTTAAAAACGATACGTACCGAAAGGATCATTCTTTTTGTCGGCTGTTTCGGCTCTTGTCCTCTGTCGACATGCACAAACACCAGCAACTATTAGCAGCAAGAACAGAACAGCACCACCAACTGCCGCTCCGATGATAATGCCCTTGCTCGATGACTTTTTCGACGGTGAACCCTCCACCGTAACTGAAAAACAAAAGAAACCGACATTGAAAAAAAAAATCAAGAAGTTATATTTATTAGATTTTGACATTTGCTACCTTCAAAGTGTGGATAGCTACGGCCGATGAAAAAGAAGGGTCCGAATTCAGGCGGAGGCTTGAACGTTTGATTGCTCAGCGTAAATCCGATCCCGGAAATCGCGGTGCGGTTGAAATACTCTTGGCCGGACGGAAAGACTTGCAGATCAAGCGAAAGGTAGTTATCGATGTTTCGATTCGGATTGCTGACAGAAACGGAATCCACAGGGAGGGAGCGAGACTTGAACACGGACATCAGTTTGTTTTCGAGTGAAGCGAAAATAGTCCCGTTTCTGTAGTTTGAAAACGATGGGGCTCGGAAGATAAGCGTCCCCGTGTAAGGGTAGGCGCATTTACAAGTCGGGGATGAAACGGTTTCCGAAGTGCAATTCGAAGGCAAGCAGTTTTGTTGCGGTGTTGAGTATGTATTATTCGACGGTTGAGGAATCGTGCAGTAACTCTCTCTCCCTCCTTCGTCGCATATCGGGTTTCCGATGAGTCTGCGCATGCACGTATACGGTATACATTATATATTAGAAAGAAAAAAAAGATTAAATTGTTTAGAGAGTGATGTGTATTTTTTTACATGATTTGAACGGTGAAACCAGCTCGTTGAGTGAAGGCGTCGATGAAATTGTTTTGCAAATCGATGATTTGTAGTTGGTTACTGTAGTTTGAGCCGATGTTTAACGTACCGTTGATTTGATTGTTCTTCAATGTTCTGAAGAAGAAGAGGAAAAAAAAAAACAGATTGTTATTTTGTTATGTATACCTTTCAAAAAAATGTATGATTATATTATGGGAAAAATACAGTTTTTGTCCCTCAAGTTTGCACTGATTTCACATTTGGTACCTTGTGTTTCAAAAATTCAGCATTTTTAGTCCTTCCTGCCAATTTTTCGTTAGTACTAACAGAATCAAGCGTGTGCCCTTGACTGCCTTAACCGATGAACTAACGGTAAATTGACATAAATGACCAAAAGTGTTAAATTATTGAAACATGAGGGATCAAATGTGATTTTTGTGAATATGAGGGATTAAATGTGAAATCGTTGTAAACTTAAGGGATGAAAAATATAAATTTCGCAAAAGATGTATGATTATATTACTGGAAAAATACAGTTTTAAATTTTAACTACTCAAGTTTGCATTGATTTCACATTTGGTCCTCTAAGTTCACAAAAAACATATCCGCGGTCCCTCATGTTTCAAAAATTCAACACTTCTAGTCTTTTTCGTCAATTTTGCGTTAAAACTAACGAAATCAAGCGTGTGCCCGTAACTGTCTTAATTGATGAACTAACCGCAACTTGACATAAATGACCAAAAACGTTGAATTATTGAAACATGAGGGATGAAATGTGATTTTTATGAACATGTGGGACCAAATGTAAAATCGGTGCAAACCTGAGGGATGAAAACTGTAATTTTCACATTATAGTGACCGAAGAGTTAACTTACACAGTTTGCAACTGGAAAAGGCTAAACATAGAAACTGGAAGTGATCCTTGAAGTTTTGTGTTTTCCATTACCCTGAAAAATCGGAGTTAGTATTTTTCGGTTAGTCGTAAGATAAAAACACAGACGCGCACGCGCACGCGCACACATATTTAGAGACATACAGTGAAGTCATGGACTGCAAAGATGAAAACCATGGCGGAATATCCGTTACATCGAATGAATTATTGCTCATGTCCCTGCAAAATTTGAAATACCGGTTAATGCATATATAAATAAGGAAATTACAAAAACACCCCTGAACTAAGGCTAAATTATGAAAAATGCCCCCACCTATCTCTAATTACCAAAACCCCCCGACATTAGTTTCCAGCTGACACTGGCTCCCTTACGATGTGATTTTTCAAACAATCTTTTCTACTCCAAGGAATATTGCCCAAAAATGTCGATTATATCCCTATAGACGTGTCATTTCTTGATGTTACTTTTTTAAGCCAAAAATTACCCTCATGGGCCTTTACACGAAATCTTTATTCTTCTTAAATCTTAAATAGCGCACATTCACAACTTTTTTTATTATCATTACCCCCTATGAGACTAATTTATGTCTTTAAAAAGTAGTATAAAGAAATACCACGTTTGCAGGGGTAGATTTGACATTTTTTTGGAAAATTTCACTGAAATCAAATAGATTCCGTGAAAAGTCACACCATAGGCATAAGGGGTCGGTGTAAGACTTAAACAAACGTCAAGAGGGGGAGTGAGGTGGGGGTTGGTAATCGCGATTCATAATTTAGCCTAAGTTCAGGGTCATTTTTGTAATTTACGCATGTAAATATGGTTAGTGACTAATTTATTGAAATTGTTCTATAGTAAATTATATTGAAAGAAAAAGACCAAGACGAAAATAGACAGCTGGCTTACACATAGCGGAGCAAATTCATGCCAGTTAGATTGGGCAATGGTCCAGTCAGCTTATTATTTGCCAAGAACCTGAAAAATGGTCAATCAGGTTTTTTTTTTTTTTTTTTTTTATTAATAAGTAATTTTTTTTTTTGAAGATTCATGCAATCAAATTATTTTATTCTACTTACAGCTCCTGGACAGAGGTGAGGTTGTTGAAGTTTGAGGGAACTGGTCCACTCAGTGAGTTCCTATCGAGCCGCCTGTTCGATCCGACAAAACCGATAACTTAAAGATTCGAACTTTCACTAGAAAAAAAAAATCAAAAAAAGAACGAGAGTCGTAATAATTAGCGGGTAGCGACGATACTTACACAACTTCAAGTTTATCTACAAGCCCCATTGTATAAGGGATACTTCCAGTTAGCTGATTGTTTTCGAAAAGCCTACGCCAAAAATTAAACGTTATATCTAAACCTCCATAAATTAATACAGTCGAGACTAGTAAAATTTTATTAATTTAGCAAAATATTAAATCATCCACCTAATAATTTAATATGTTTATACTGAATCAGCTGGACTGACTCTGAAGAAACTATTATTTAAACGAGGCTATTAATTTATCGAGGTTTTGCTGTATTGTACAATGATATATATATATATATATATATATATATATATATATATATATATATATATATATATATATATATGAAAGTATAGTGTTCTTACAAATGTATAAGAGTCAAATTTGAGTGAAACAGCTGGGGTGGTATTACACCGGACAACTGATTCTTTCCGAAATGGCTGCAAGAAAAATTAACAGAGTTTGAAACGTTGATACATTAAATTTAATAAAAAAAAAAGAAAAAGAAAAAAAGAACGAGAGTACAACGTACAAGTGCTTTGTATGGATGAGCATATCGAGACCAGGTGAGGTTCCGTCAGAGACGGGGATTGTTCCGGTAAGCTTATTATCGGCTAAATCAAGCCAATAAAGATTTAACAAATTACCGATGGAAGGTGGTATTGAACCAATAAAGTTGTTCGAGTTAAGCGACCTTTATTGCCAAAAAAAAAAAGAAAAACCGGGGGTAGATGTTAGAATTACCGACGAAAAAAGAAATTAGAATGTGGGATTCGTTTAGATATACTTACAAGTATCTGAGCTGTAGTAGAGAGCCTATTGAGGGTGGTATGGGGCCGGAAAATCCGCATCCGACGAGTATTCTGAAATACATAATCGGGTTGACTTTCTTGAAAACGAGTGTTTTATTTGTATCGACCGGTAATTAATTATGATTATTTTTTTGTTCTTACAAGCTCGATAGTTTCTTAACGTCTCCGATTCCCGAAGGAAGAGATCCGGTCATGCCTTTGTTGTATGACAAGTCCCTATACATACATAAGAGCAGAGTATGTATAATATATATATCAGAAAAATCACACACACACGTGCGCGTGCACACTTGCGCACAAACTTACAAGGTCTGCAACTCGGTCAATCCCGAAATGTCCGATGATAGTTGACCGATCAAGTTGATGCTCGCTAACGTGCTGAAAATTTCCGACAAGCAAAACAGTCAGTCAGTTAGTTAGTTAGTTAGTTAGTTAGTTAGTTAAACACCAAATATGCATCTCCTATACATCGTTATTATTACATGGACACGACGCGATCGTTCTTGCACGTAATCCCGTCCCAAACATCTCCGCAAGGATCCGACCCGACCCAATTCGGTGGGACGTTAGTCCACGTATCTTTCAACGCTTTCAACGCAGCATCTGCAAAACAAAATAACAAACACGATACACGACGATGTAGTATTTCAAGAACCGTACGTAAACAAATGGACTTTTTAAAAGGGTCGAATATAATTCGATTAAAAAATCGGAAGAACTAGCCAAAACTTACGGTCGTTGGAATTCGTGGATGCCCCGATAGCTAAAGCTTGGATAAACGCGAGCAGCAGAGAGAGAACGATTCGCCAAATCATCGTTACTCAATAAACGAACAACAATTACGATTAGCTATATATATTTATATACATATGTATGTATATATATGTATATATATGTATATGAACTTCAAGAATGTAACAATTTATATATATATATTATGAGTACGGAGAAGAAAGCTTCAAACATGTAACATCTATATTATAGAAGTGGCTTGTGCCCAACTAACTATCACTATATATATATATATTCTTCACCAACTCAATCAATCATCCTCAAAATTTGGTCAAACCGAGTAACAGATGGTGCTGAAAATGTCAAAAGTATATATATACACATTTTTATGTTTATAAATCATGATTTTATATTGAAGTAAACTATATCGATCGATCTGCTCCTAGACAAGTTGTAATATGTTAAACAATTTTAATATAATTACCAAAGCAAGTGCCCCAAAATCCAATCATTTTATTACATCGTGTGAACAAAGTCAAACATCTATCTGTAACTTTAATATTATCGATTAATCAACTTTAATCGGTTTTTTTTATCATGAGGCCCCTTATTGTAAAACGAGGGTTACAAAAGTCAATTTCTATAACTCCAATTTTATCAATTTCGCAGAAAACTTCGATTCTAACTTTCTTTTTATGGAATTTCCATTTTTTTTTCGGCCGAGGTTAACGACGGTCCCGGCGGCATTGACTTTTTGTTTTTGTTTTTTCCCGCCGCCGCTGACTGACGGATAACACCGGTCTTCGGTGGAGTTAATTTTTTTTATACTTTTTATGCTTTTTCTTTTTCGCGCAGACAGTTGACCGTAATATTAATATTATTGTCAAACACATCAATATTATATTTTTTTGATCTTTTACTTTGTTTTGTTTAGTTGAATCGGTCAATAAACACATGCGTTTTCATGTTTCGAAAACCGAAATACCATAACATCTGATACGGGTTCATTTGTCCTAAGGGGCCGTCTGATACAAATCACAAGCCCAAGAATTGAGGCTCAGGCCCGTGACAAGACATGCCATACACATGCCCCCTACGTGGAGAGCATGCAACAGTTGGCTGACAAGACCGCACGTGCGGCTATGACAATGACAGAAAGCCTACAGTCATGGAAACAGAAATGTCCACGTCAGGTTCTAGGAAGAGCTCACTCACCGTTAGGCACTAACACTGCTCGCGAGCCCTAAAAGGGGTTCGCCCTTTACAATGAAACAACTCGGATGAGTCGTGTCAACCCTACGATTGAGCATGGGTAAAGGAAATGGAGGGTCCACCACCTCACTTACTAGACAGATATAAATAGCAGTCAGGGGGTGCAGAAAGAAAGATCACATTCGCACTACTCTACTTTTAACCATACATTGATCTTTCTCTCTTAGATGCCGACTAACTTGATCGTCGGATTGCTAACCCCAGAAAACCACCTCCCGACGCTCCTTTTTTGTAGGTCATTTGGGCTTGCTCTGGGCTTCTTTGTGGACTTCTCCATATTATCTTATTCTTCCTTCTTTCTTATAGTGGTCATATCGATCACATCAACACCTGTCGGAAACGTTTTGGGGTCGTTTTCGTAAATGTTTAAAAGTTTTGGGGACGTTTCTGGTAATAATGAAAATTATATGCCCCAAGTGTAATTTGTAGAATTATGTTTATGTCTCGTTTTCACTTCTAGAGATGTTTTATTAGTTTTTGTAGATGCTACTAAAATAAAATTATATGGCCCAAGTGTAATTTGTGGAATTATAATTTGGATTGGAATTATATATATTATGTTGATACAAATATGTAATTGCCGATAAGTATATAAGTTAAAAGTTATAATATTTTATAGAAATTATGATGTACCCTATATTTTAAATATTTATACGTTTTCCCCATGTTCCCTTATTCAACTTTTTGAAAATGAGGTTTCTCCGGGTCAAATTCCTTGTTTTGTCTTGTCAGCGTTCACGTGTTTGTGCTACATTGATGTCTAGTGTTGTAGTATTACTATGATTGATAGTTACTATTACTGTCAAATCTCACTAATTGGTTGACAGTAATATTACAGTCAGTATTGAAATCAACTTTTTACCACGATCTAAATAAAATCTCATAAAACACAAGGCATAAAAATAAAGCTAGTACACTCTTATTTTCGGTTCAACAATGAGATTAGGACAATAGTATTCGATGAGATTATTTAATTGATCCAATTAAAATTTTAGAAAATACAAGACATGTAAGTTGTAGAACTTGTTCTCTTCTTTCTAATGGAAGTTGAATTAGGGTAATCGAAATTTGTATACGAAAGTTATGATCAAAACAAAACATATAGTAAAAACACGTAATCTTAATGTCGTGACATGCAGTATCTAATGCGATTTTTTACCCTGATTCGAATAAAATCTCATAAAACACAAAACATGAAAGTTGTATAACTTGTTATCATCTTTCTAGTGCAACTTGAAGCTCGAAATTGAGATCACGTTGTACTTTTTTTCTTTCCAAAAACTTCGAATGTGCTATAACATAATGGCCTCGTTTGCTTAGTGCTATTAGATTCTATTAATTAAATAGTAGAAGGTAGTAAGATGTTTTTTGTTGATAAGATTCATGATTAGTCAAGCCTTCTGCCAAAATTCATTACCATTGCCCTACCAAAAATCCGCAAGTATATGTTATTATTTGTTTGGATTAGTAACACCCCTCCCACCTGCGACTAATTTTGTAGGGGATTAAACAATGAAAATACAATTTTGTTCATTAAAACAATATCTTATGATTTTGTTAATTAAAAGATTTTTTAGACAATTTACATTTAATACCAGAATTTAACAAATTTAGTACAAGATTTAATCTAATCAATCAAACATCTTAGAGATCAAATAATTAGTTATTCACTGGGATATAATTCAATCTCACATAATCCAATGTAATCTGATATAGGTAAACAAACAAACGGGCCTAGTTTAATTACACATGGATTTTTCAAGAATTACAATCATCACTCAAAAGCACCCAATAAAAATGTATACAGAAATTTACACTTGTTCCTCCTTTTTACATGCCTCTCTTTTCTCAGAGGCTTATAAAACCAAACAAACAAAATAAAATGCTCAATTTTCAACCATGAGCAGAATTTAACTAACTTTATAAAAAAAATACATTTCGTTTCTCCAACAAATAACATACTAATTCAAATCAAAAAATTTAAATAAAAAATAATAATAAAAAAAAATAAAAAAAATAAAAAAAAATTTAAAAAAAAAAGATCATTTACTTTGGTTCGAAACCTTTAGAATCAGCAGGATAAGCACCACTGTAAGCAAACATGTTCTCATTACTATAAGGATGCTTACCATCTTTATTCGCATCTTCGTAAGTCGATGAAGTCGGTGCTGACTCAGCATTAGGGTTGATCCCCGCGATCTCCATCGTATTCTCAATCTCCTTAACCACCTCACTCATCGAAGGCCGGTTCGACCCTAGTTCTTGAACGCACCTCAAAGCCAAATCCACAAACATCTCGACGCTCTTGGCCGACATTCCGGAAGCTACCGCGGGGTCTAGAATCCCTTGTAGGTTATACATATTCTTCGACGTATCCATCACGGATCTCACTTCTCTCACAATATGCTTACCGTTTTCGATCGGAAGCCTTGCTGTCAAAAGTTCGAGCAGCAATATCCCGAAGCTGTACACATCGCTCTTTTCCGTCAGTTGCTGTGTCATGTAATATTCCGGATCCAAATATCCCTGATTTAAATAAAAAATTAAAATAAAAATCAAGAACTTGGATAATCATCGAACGAAAATTAAGAAAGTGATTTAATTAATGCAGTGTATGCTGACCATTGTGCCTTTAACTTGAGTAGTGACGTGGCCCCTTTCGGAATCACCCATAAGCTTAGAGAGGCCGAAATCGGCTACTTTGGCAGTAAGGCGTTCGTCTAATAAGATATTGTTCGATTTGATATCCCTGTGTATGATCGGAGGGTCTGCCTCGTCATGCAGATATTGTAACCCTTTGGCTGCTCCGTGTGCAATTCGAAGCCGCCTCATCCAATCTAATCTGATCCCCGTTTTTCCTTTTGAGCACCGAAAATCAAGAAATGATATTTTAGTTCACAATCCCTTTTCATTTAGACGAAAAAAATATAAAATCAGAATTTTATTTAATTTACGAACCTGAAATACTATCGCTCAGTGTGCCATTTGCAATGAACTCGTAGACGAGCATTTGTTCGCCGTGATCGAAACAAAAACCGACGAGGCTGACGACATTCTTGTGATGAACCCTAGAGAGGAGTTCGATCTCGGTTTTGAACTCGAGACCGCCCTGCATAGATCCTTGCACGGCTCGTTTAATTGCAACCAATTGTCCGTTCGCAAGGGTTCCTCTATATACCCTTCCGTAGCCGCCACTCCCGATCCCATTGGTTTCCGAAAAGTTATTAGTGATTCGTTTAAGTTCTTCGAACTTGAAAGCTTTGACTCCTTTCAGCTGCGGAACTGATCCGCTTGTCGTATTCGTGTCCCACAATGCTGAAACCGCGAATAAATAAAATGGTTACTAATTTAGCAACAAGGTACTTACGAGAGACAGATTGAATCATAAAAACATACCGAAAGGATCGTTCATTCTATCGGCTGTATCGGCTCGTCTCCTCTGGCGAATAGCGTAAACTCCTGCAAGAACCAACAACAAGAAGAGTACAGTACCACCGACCGCCGCTCCGATGATAACTCCCGTGTTTGACGACTTGTTCGAACCCATCACTGAAATGAAAAACAAAAAAACCGACATGAAAACAAACGGATTTAACTGGAAATCAAGAACTTATTTTTATTTTATTTAAAAAAAAAAGATGTTATTTTTATTATATTTTCACATTTGCTACCTTGAAAGTGTGGATAGCTACGGCCTTCGAAAACGAAGGGTCCGAATTCAGGCGGAGGCTTGAACGTTTGATTGCTCAGCGTAAATCCAATCCCGGTGATCGCTGTGCGGTTGAAGAAATCTAGGCCCGATGGAAAGACTTGCAGATCAAGCGACAGGTAATTATCCGTGTTTCGTGTCGGATTACTTAAAGAAACAGAGTCTACAGGGAGGCTGTTGGACCTAAATGTGACCATCAATTTGCTTTCGAGAGAAGCGAAAATGGTTGCGTTTCTGAAGTTGGAAAACGATGGGGCCCGGAAAACCAGTGTTCCTGAGTAGGGGTAAGCGCATTTACAAGTCGGGGATGAAACGGTTTCCGAAGAGCAAGTGGACGGTACGCAGTTTTGTGGTGGCGTCGAGTATGAATTCGAAGACGGTTGAGGAAGGCTACAGTAACTCTCGGTTCCTCCTTCGTTGCATATCGGGTTTCCTACAAGTCTGTGAAATACGAATAAATATTATTTAAAAAAAATAAAAAAAATAGGAGAAGATTACATGGCGTAAAAGGGTGATGTGTATTTTACATGATTTGAACACTAAAACCAGCTCGTTGAGTGAAGGCCTCGATGAAATTGTTTTGTAAATCGATGATCTGTAGTTGGTTACTGTAGGTGGAGCCGATGTTTAAGGTACCGTTGATCCGATTGTTCTTCAATGTGCTGAAGAAAAAAAAAAAAAAAGGATCGTTTTTTACGTATACCTTTCGAAAAGATACACGATATATAATATAGTGGTCGAAAAGTTCGCTTACACAGTTTGCAACTGGAAAAGGCTAAACAGAGAAACGGGAATCGGCCCTTGAATTCCTGTGTTTTCCATTATTCTGAAAAATTGGAGTTTTTATTTTTCGGTTAGTTGTAAGATAATAACACACACACACACATTCTTCTTTAGAGACGTACAGTGAAGTCAAGCTCATCAAAGATGAAAACCATGGTGGAATATCCGTTGCATCGAATGAATTATTGCTCATGTCCCTGCAAATTTTCAAATACCAGTTTTATATTATATATATATGGTTAAATGGTTAAAACTGCATTTGAAAAAATAAATATTCTATACGACAGAAAAAAACATTACAGTAGTTGGCGAAATATAAGTGACGACTTACACATAGTTGAGCAAATTCATGCCGGTGAGGTTCGGCAAGGAGCCGGTCAGCGCATTATTTGACAAATACCTGGTTAAATGATGTTCAGTCATCTTTTTTGCGGAAAGTAATAAAAAGTAATAAAGTCATCGAAATAACTCGTTTATTTTCTACTTACAGCTCCTGGACAGAAACGAGGTTGTTGAGGTTCGGGGGAACTGGTCCACTCAGTAGGTTCCTATCGAGCCGCCTGTTCGATCGGACAAAACCGATAAATTAAAGGTTCAAACTTTCAGTAGAAGAAAACAAAAGAATGAGGGTCGTAATAATTAACGGGTAGCGACGATACTTACACAACTTCAAGTTTATCTACAAGCCCTATTGTAGAAGGGATTCTTCCCGTTAGCTGATTGTTTTCCAAAAGCCTACACAAAAAAAAATAAACGTGTATATATTTAGAACAAATCACGATTACTCTAACATGGTATGTACAATGATATATATATATATATATATATATATATGAAAGTATAGCGTTCTTACAAATGTATAAGAGTCAAATTTGAGTGAAACAGCTGGGGCGGTATTACACCGGACAACTGATTCTTTCCGAAATGGCTGCAAGAAAAATTAACAAAGTTCGAACATATCACACATTAAAAAAAAAAAAAAAAAAAAAAAAAAAAAAAAAAAAAAACGAGAAGTACAACGTACAAGTGCTTTGTATTGACGAGCATATCGAGACCAGGTGAGGTTCCATCAGAGACAGGGATTGTTCCGGTAAGCTTATTATCGGCTAAATCTAGCCAATAAAGATTTGTCAAATTACCGATGGAAGGTGGTATTGAACCAATGAAGTTGTTCGAGTTAAGCGACCTTTATTGCCATAAAAAAAAGAAAACGGGGTTAGATATTAATTAATTACCAACGAAAAAAGAAATTAGAATGTGGGATTCTTTTAGATATACTTACAAGTATCTGAGCTGTTGTAGGGAACCTATCGAGCCTGGTATGGGGCCGAAAAATCCGCAACCGACGAGTATTCTGAAATGCGTGCAACGAAACTTTGTTAATACGAGTGTATTGTTGTTATACTATTTGCATCGAACTTGTAATTACAGTGCGGTGAGATTTTCTTACAAGCTCGATAATTTGTTCACGTTTCCGATTTGTGGAGGAAGAGGTCCGGTCATACGTTTGTTATATGACAGGTCCCTATATATAGAAAAGCAAAATATCAGCGAAAGCATACACATTCAAAACCATCATAACAAGTCCAATATAGTGTTTGAACGGTTCTTTTTTAAATGAATTTCAAATCCTTAGCTCTCGTTTTTTTTTTTTTGCAGTTATTTAAAATATTTCCTCTCCTCTAATCCAAATTCAACGTTACATAAGTTACTGATAATTATCCATTCAAGAATCGTTTGCTCTAGTATAAGAAAATGCCAGACAGTTAATATAATGCACATTGGAAAACATGCTTTATTGCAACACGGAAACATAGGACGAGAAAAGAATAGAAAAACATACAGTGTCTGCAACTCGGTTAATCCTGCAATGTCCGACGATAGTTGACCGCTCAAGTCGATACTCGCTAATGTGCTGAAATTTGACAAGAAATCGGTTAGTAAATCCCAAATGGGCCACCCCAAAAAAAAAAAAAAAAAAAAAAAAAAAAAAAAAAAAAGAAAAAAAAAACCCATAAAAGTTGTTATTACATGGACACAACACGGTCGTTCTTGCAGGTAATCCCATCCCAAACATCGCCACAAGGATCGGACCCGATCCAATTTGGTGGGTAATTACCCCATGTATCTTTCAACGCCTTTAACGAAGTAACTGTCGTAAAAAAAATTAAAACAATCGTAAGAAGTAGAATTTGTTAGCACTCCCAAAAAGACGTATTTCAAGAACCAATTAACTATAAACAGAATATTCCTATTTCAGATCCAGATTGAATATCTAATGTCAACTATACTCGAACGATCCACCACTACCGAAAAAAAATGTAAAAGCAGCATTTCAGAAATTAACGGAACATCACGGCTCGTCAAACGATATTAAAGATCAGTAAACGCGTCGAATTCGATAGAATTCGACAGAAAACGAAAAATCTCGGATCAAGAATTAGCGAAAACTTACAATCGTTGGTATTCGTGAGTGCAGCTATAGCTAAAACTTGGATAAAAGCAACCAGCAAAGAGAGAAGGACTCTCCAAATCATCATTACTCAGTAATCAACGACCATACACGTTTTTCGTAATTATACGTATCAACGAATCTGAACTTCTCAAAAATGTTCGAAATTTACGAGTATGGAGAAAACCTTCGAAATCAACACATATATCACAGGAGTGACTTGTTGCCAACTATCCGTATAATTTATTGAAATAGTCTCCTTCGACAACTTACTAAATCCTAAAATTTTCTTATCGGTTTCGAATGCGATTGGTCAAGCTGAAGCTGCTGAAAATGTCCAAAGTAGACATATTTTTTATGTTCAGACCATGATTACTATATTGTAGTAAAACTACATCTGCTACTAGACAAGTTGTCATTAATTAAACAAATGTTAAATGCAATTACCAAAACAGGGCTTCACCATGTGAACAAAGTCAATTATCAAAACACATAATTATTGATTAAATTATGCCATTTTAATCCCAGAAAATACATATATATTTTAAAGAATCAAACTTTTAGGGGGCATTTGCGTCAGAGGGGGGGAAATTGCAAATACAGGCAAGTTGAGGAATTATAATAAATAAATAAAAAAAAAAAAAAAAAAAAAGAGCAGACGCCCAACAAAGACTTGGCAAGGAAAAACAACAAGTAATGTATTGAATTGAATTGGAATATAGAAATGGTGGCGGGGTAGGTCAAATATGAGTTGTGAACATTTGAATTCCGCGCATTAGTATAATAATAGCACTACCGTCGAGACGTGCTGCTGTATATAAACAAATTGCTCTGCGCGCGCGTGCGCGCGTGCGTGTGTGTGTGTGTGTGCGCGTGGGTTGATTTTTCAGATTACATAGTTGAGGGGTTAACCTGAAAGCGAAAATCCCTAAAAGGGGTGTTTTGAATCGGTCGTTTTCCCCCAACGCCCGCCACCCGCCGCTCATCAAGACGACGTCGTCGTGCCAATTTATTAATACTTTCATTTTTTATTTTTTTTAGACGCATTCTCTCGTGCTATTTCCACAAGTATCTGAATTTTAAATTAAGAAATTCAATAAATTACTTCATACTTCCTATTTTACCCTTTTCTCAAATAGTCAAATTATTCCCAAAACTTTATTTAGGGATCTTTAAAAGCCATCAAATAATACACATATTTAGCTTTTCTGGTTGACGAGGGTTAATTTAGTAAGTATGGGCCGAACTCTCAAAAATGAACTTAGACATGGAGAAATCGATTGGGTGGGTCGACATGGATGTACTTGGCCGAAGGCTTAATAAATATTGAGGACATAGATTGGTCATAAGCTCACTTATGAGAAGTTAATTGCCAATGAGCTCGCGGATAGAGAGTTTGTCGGGATAATTACAGTTTTGGTCCCCTAAGTTTGCACTTTTTCACTTTTGGTCCCCCTATTTACCGCTGTCGACAAAATACATACTAATATTGTCACATTTTAACACATTTAGTCACTCCGTCTGTTTGACTGTTAAGATGTAACGGTCAACGGTTGAATTTGGGGTTTTTCTTTGAGAAAATTGCAATAAGACCCGTGTATTCTTTCAAAATATTCTAAAAACCCCTAAAATTTTATCCAACCATAATTTAACCTCAATTTCATCAATTAACCAATTTTAACCAATGACCCCAATTTTTTGAAATCGGGTAATCCGACATTGACTTTCTTTTTAACTCGGTTGACTCATTTTTCGATTGATTTTTTTTGCCGTTGTTGACCGATGTTGAATGTCGGGTAAACAACGTTGACATTTTCTTTCTTGAGTTTTATTTAAATTGTTGAGTAGTGGTAAAAAATATAATTTTTTAAAAAAAGTCAAAGCTGATAATCGGCGAGAAAAATAATATCATAAAAGAAGTCAAAAAAAAAAAGAAAAAGTCATCGCAGCAACTCAGTGGCGGAAAAAATTTAAGACAAAAAAAAAAGATAAAAATTAACGACAGGTGTTAGCCCCAAAAATCGTTGTACTAGAGTGGTTATCTCATTTCCAAATTACTCCGCATATGCCTAATTCATCTTCTTCATATTTTTTTAGGAAGAAATTTGGCATGCACTAGCGGTTCCACGAAAAAAAAATTGACGGGAAGAAATTATGGATTTTAGAATTTTTTTAAAATTGTATTTAGGCCCCAAAATTTTAGATAAAGACTTTATTAGAAGTTTGTAGTTTTAATATTACGATACTAGATATTAATATAGTATTATTATTGTGTTATACAATAATAATATTGTGTTGGTCCGAAATAAAAGTCATAGGAAAAACTTCAAAAAAATCAAGAAAAATAAAAAAGTCAACATTGTTAACCAAGAATATGTCGGTGAACAACGTCAAAAACAATATTAAAAAAAACATTAATGCCGAAAAAAAAAGTTAAAAAAAATCAACGGCGGTCAACAGCCAGCGGTAATGGTGGAAAAAATTGGGGTCATTTGCCAAAATTGATTAAATGGTGAAATTGAGGTTAAATTAGGGTTGAATAATATTTTAGGGGTTTTTAGAATATTTTAAAAGAATACAAGGGTCTGACTGCAATTTTCTCAATGAAAAATCCCAAATTCAGCCATAATTCAACAGTTGACCGTTACTTCTTGACGGTCAAACAGACGGAGGGACTACATGTGTTAAGATGTGACAGCATTAGTGTGTATTTTGTTGATGGCGGTAAATGGGGGACTAAAAGTGAAAAACGTGCAAACTTGGTGGACCAAAACTGTAATTATCCCAGAGTTTGTCATTGGTAAGTTTGTTGCTTGGAAGCATGTCACCGCCACAGACCTCACTGTCATATCTTAGCATGCATACGAAAAGGATGCGAAATTGACTGATCGGATATCGAGTTGAATTAGAGCCGTTGGAGAACTAGATATAGAAAGTGTGTGTTCCTAAATAGATGAAGATATTTGTAATTATATGTAGCACGAGAATATTTAGTAATAAATGTAAAGCGAATCAAATGCCTAAAATGGCTGCCAAGGGAGTTGGATTCGGAAGAAGGTCTTGAGGGTACAGATTTTGTACCATCAAATGGTGCAGTCTGTGACAAATCGAGGTCGAATTAAGGCGTTGGGTTCCCAAATCTATCGAAGATCAATTTTCAAAATGACTAGGGAAGTACCCTCTCAATTTAATTTATTTTATCGATATTCCGATTAATTAATCGTCGTAGCATAACGTATTTAAAGGATATGATATTCGGAATTATATGCTATCAATATGCTTAGATGTGATTCGTAATTTGAAATGATGCATGCATAACCACATCCTTTCTTGCTTGTATTGATGTCGTCATTACATATCGGAATACTGTGGTCGCTGAAAAATCATCCCACGAGGAATTGAATGAGTGCTTGGTCGGCGGCTATGGCAGGAGGTCATGGTTGGTATAGAAGGTATGGGAGTTAGGGTTTTCAATTTAAGTGTTATAAAATTACTGGTAATCATGCCTGCACGGGATCGCATTCAACAAAAGGAAAAAAATGAATTGTTTAAATAAATGATAGTACAAATAGTAATAAAAAAATCCATCAAATAATATTGAAATGCATTGTGAAATTCAAATTACACTACTATTACCTTATTTTATTGTAGCATATATTTTTCATCATACAATCAATACACACACACACACAAACCCCTCACACCCTTTTGTTTCTTATTCACAAACCTTCCCTTCCACTCATGCTGCTTCTTCTTCTTCTTCTTCTTCTTCTTCTTCTTCTTCTTCTTCTTCCTACATTTTCTTCTTCTTCTCGCTTCTTCTTCATGCTTCTTCCTGCTTCTTTTTCCTCCTCTTCTTCATCATCTTCTTCTTCTCCATCTTGCGCTTCTTCCTCTTCATCTTCTTTCTCTTCCTCCTCTTTCGCTTTCTCCTCTTCGTCATCCTCGTCTTCTTTCTCCTTCTCCTCTTCGTCCTCCTCATCTTCGGCTTCCTCTTATGCGTCTTAATACCTCTTCTTCTTTTTCTTCTTCTTATTTTTCTTCTTCTTCTTCTTCTTCTTCTTCTTCTTCTTCTTCCTCTTCACCTTCTTCTTCCTCTTCTTCTTCTTCTTCTTCTTCTTCTTCTTCTTATTCTTCCTCTTCTCCTTCTTCTTCCTCTTCTTCTTCTTCTTCTTCTTCTTCTTCTTCTTCTTCTTACTATTTTTCTTACTCTTCTTCTTCTTCTTCTTCTTCTTCTTCATTTTCTTCTTCTTCCTCTTCTTCTTCTTCTTCTTCCTTTTCTTCTTCTTCCTCCTCCTCCTCTTCATCTTCTTCTTCTTCTTAAACTCCACCATAAACACTATTTTGCAAGAGCGAGTGCTTCCTAGTGCATTGTCACATTCAGAACATAAGCTTGCAGTTTTGAACGATTTTTTTAAAGAGAAATAGTAGATTGTGGTTCTCAATGTAGTCAACGCCAAATTTCATCCTTTGACTCCGTCCTTCATTAGATACATCAAACCTATTTATGAGCTCTTTTGTTGGATCTCCCTTTATGTTAAACTCTACCAATGTTATTGAATCGGAAATTTGTTACGTATCGTCTTTTTCTACTTATCGTATTGTTTATCATAGTGCAAGATATTTAACCAATTAATAAAAATCGTACAAAATATATATATGTAGTAAAAATATTATAAATATGTAAAATTTAATATTTTAAAGTCAAACCATTTGTTTCAAATAGATCTAAATTCAAATGTCAACACTACATTATAAAATAGGATAAAAGTCATAAGCGTTCATCAAATAGCATCATCAAAGTTGAAATTTGGATCACTATTTGTAAAAAAATAATCTATGGTTCATCATCTTCAAAATCAATATCACTATAATCTTTCTCATCCTCCAATTTCAAATAATTGTGTTCATCCTCATCTTCACCAATCTCTTCAGCTTCATGATTATCAACTTCAGTTCTGGCTTTTCCATTCCTCTTCTTATCAATATCAAACTTGACATATAGATCCCCAAATTGACGATTTAGTAGTTATTAGGTTTTATTAGTTTGAAATCCATTTGAAGAAATTAGAGAATTTGATGTCCAATTGAATAATTTTTAATGAGTTTTAAATTTTGTATAATTTGAAGAATTTGTAAAGGCCCTCGTTTCCTTTTACAGACAATTCAGAAATTGCTATTTTAATATTTTAAACGAACCGGATAGTTGTATATTTAAAGATACAACATATTAACGAAGTTGCCCCTGATCCGTAAAAAATAGTCAGTTCGCCCCATTCCACAAAAAGACCGTTCTACCCTTAAGCGCAAATGAATGAAATTACCATGTGTAAAAAAAAAATTCGGTTGCATCAAAAAATCGAAAGAGTCCCCAACCCCCTCGGTTCAATTTATGCAGCCCAAGCGGATGCTTATCGAAGACTTATGACGATGCTTCATCTCTTTCTCTTAATATCGATATCGTTCCCGTTCATTTCCTAGTTTTTTTTTTCTTTTTTTTTTTTTTTTCTAAATGCCCTACTAATTATGCCTATCATCCCCTTAAACTTAACAAATCAGAATACAACTAAGCTTAAGGGTTGAATGTTTCAAAATAAATATTTTAATTATATATATATATATATAATTGGATATATTTTATATTATTCTTCACACTATAGCTGAAATTGATTGTGGTATTTTGTTGTTTTTTGAGATAAGGGTGTTGGTAATTTTAATTAAAAAAAAAAAAAAAGCAAGCTTTTCGTTATTATTTATTAAATTATATATAATAATAATTTTATTGGTTAAAGATTTTATTTCAAAAAATGCTAAATGATTGATATTATAGTAATATAGTGTTGATATGATTTTAGCCCTATTATCTCTAATATAAGTATATATTTAATCTTTTTATTGTGTTATCAAAAATTTTTACAAAGTTTATTGTTTTTTAATATTTATGTATTTTTAATAGATTAGTAAACTTTTAGTAACTCAATAAGGCATTTATTTAAAAAAATATCGAAAAATAACTAAATAAGTATTAACAAAAAAAAGGTAATACATATAAGGAAAAAAAAATCTATTTTTGTCGAAGCTCTCTTAGGGCTCCACTTTTTGCAGGACCGGCCCTGCTTGGTGCAAACTGCAAAGTATTGAAATTTTAATTTTTCCACCTTCAATGCTTCAACTATTTCTTTACCATATTACGCCCCCCAGAAAAAAGAATATCTTCAACCTTTTTTACTAATTCTAATAAAAGACATGCCTATGCAATAATTTTGTGATTTAATTTATGATAATTCTATTATTTGAATGATTTTGTACTTTTCAAATGCGCCAAGTGCTAATAAAGCTTTTTGCGATGCAAAGTGACAAAATGTTATACTGTGACGGTACAAAGGTAAATTAAGCCAATTTTTCTTGCATGTAATCCCCATTTGCGTTAAATAGTTAACACCGCTATAGATCAGATTTTATGCAAGTTTTTTGAAGCATTGGGGGATTTGGTGCATGGTTTTTGCAACACAAGGGAGTCTATACAAAATTAATTTATTCATTTAATATTAAAATTATTTTCTTAAATTAAGTCGAATACAATTATTAATTTTAAGTATGAAAATAAAAAAGTAATATTCAAGATGGAAGTTGGAACAAATTCTCAAAGTATTTATGTTCTTTTCATATATAGTTAATCCATGATCAATTATAAAAATATATAATAATTCTAATAAACTAATTATAAATTTAAATAATCAAAAAAATTAAATACGTTAATAAAGTAAATCATATAATTTTTTTTTAATATTCACCACACCTATCAAAAGTTTTATTATTAATATTGCAACTAAATAAATAAATATGTTCGACTTAATTTAAGAAAATAATATGAATTTTAAACGAATTAATTAATTTTGCATAAAATTTCCTTGTATTGTAGAAAATATGCTCGAAATCTCCCTCTGTTATGAAAAAAAATGCATAAAATCTACTCTATAATTAACGGTGTTAACTTTTAACGAAAAGAAAATTTCGCGCAAAGCAAAGTAAAATGAAACATAAGGAGGTTTTACGCAAGAAAAAATACATGAAGATTTGGCGCAAATTTTCCTTTAACTCATAGAGGTTTTATATTGTTTAATAGAGGTTTTATATTGATTACTGATCAATAGACCCAAGGCCCTAGGTAGCAAATAGTTCAGATGGATAAAATTGTAATTTTTCTTTTTAGCCCCTTACAAAAATAATTGGATGAGAGTAGGGGTGTTAATAATTTCTTGAAATAGTAGTATCTAATAGCTGGCTTCCACTTTGATAGCAGACTTCAATATTTTTTTCAATTTATCAACCAAACATCTTAATAACTCATACTATTTAATCAATATAACCTAACAGTAGCAAACAAACGAGGCCGTAACATGTATTGTATATGTTGATAACGTCCTCAATATACGGTTTATTCTCTGTTATACTCTTGAATATGTGAAATTTACTTTCCACATGAAAAAAAAAAAAAAAAAAAAAAAACTGATGCACCATTACATAATACCAAAAAAGCACTTGTGCAGCATAAAGAGCTGGGAGAAAAAGCAATCATAAGTTCCATCTAAGTTTGGTTCAAAATTCTTGTGTAAGAAGAAGAGCAACAAACAAAACTCCAACTCATACTCTACTTTCTCTACACACCTAAGAGGATGTATCGGCACACGACGAATCACTCGAGTCGACATCAGACTTTAGCAATGAAATATAATCACTTGCTTGCGGAATGTACGAAAACGCCAAGAACGATACCCCAATTGCAATCGACAATCCCGTAAAACTCCATAACCACCTTCTTCGGCTCCTTTTCTTTGCTCGTTGCCTTTGTGCCACCTCTGCATTTATTCGATCAACATAATTAATTAGACACAACAAAATATAATCAGATAAAATGTCGGAGATTGAAAAAAAAACATACCGACGAGTTTCCTCTGTGACATTTCATGATTGACGGTCTCGTAGTACTGAAGTTTGTCCTGCAGTCGCAATATCTCCTGGTCTTTCGATTCGATGATGACATCAGCAGCTTCTTCAGCTTCGGCACGTGCTTCGCCCTTTGCAATGGCTTCGTCGACGAAGCTGACGAAAACAACTTCCTGGGTAAATTGGTCCATCAAGGAACTCTTGTTGCCCTCTAATTTCAGCTGCGCAAGAGATGGAGGCGCGGGAAACGTTAAACCGGCTCGAGACATAAGATTACTGATCCTCTCCCATTGATTGCGCATCAGAAGAAGAGATTCCTCTGCATTTGTTCGTTTTTCGATTTCCTCAAGAATACGAAGCCTTGTGGTGTGCAGTTCCGGTTCGATTCTCGAACACAACGAAGGCGTATTTGAAACGGACCCGTCAGACGAGAAATCTGCAAATAGAAAACGCAAATCGATCTCAATACCAATTGTGAATCACATACTAATTATTTTAATTATATCGGCATAGGGGTGAAAGTCGGATGGATCATATCGGAATTAGCATTTTCTGAAAGATTCAAAAAAAAATCAGAAGTACAAAATTAATTCCAATTCCAAAATTCCAAAACTTTCGGAATCTAAAAGCTCATTCCAATTCAAAAAGGCATGGAAAATTCGGAATTTAGGGGGAAAAAAAAGGGAAATCACAAAAGTTTTAAAATTTCAAAAAAAATTTGGAAGGAGTCGAAAATCGGAATGAAAAAAGTTATTCCAGAATCGGAACTCTTCGGATCGGAACCGGCGGAAATTCGAATTTCCGTTCGAACTTGCACCCCTATATCAGCACATTGTATATTATACGATTATATATATATAAATTATTAATGAAGAAGCCCTAAAATTTTACCATCAATTGCATCGAAGAAGTCACCCTGAGCTGAAGTGAAGCTGCAGTTCTCGAATTGCCGTCCGCCGCCGGAGAAATCGTCGTCTCCGATTTCACTTCCGACGCTCAAGTACTCATTCCTCGGGTCGAGAAACCCTTCATCGTCAAAGCCGTCGTTTGCGCCCGAATTCTCGGTCGCGAAATCGTCCAAATTCAAACCAGGAGCATCGCCGTGGCCGAATTCCGCCGGTTCAGTTCCGCCGCGGCGGCGCTTGTGGTTGACGACGTACGGAGAAGGGGTGAGCGGGTCGGTGGAGGAATGTTCCGGTAATGGAGCCTGATTCGGAGTGGAATACAGAACGGGCGATATGTACAAGTGTCTACTTATCTGGTCCGGGTCCGGGTCCGGGTTCGGGTTCGGATCCTGTTTGGAGGAGGCTCGAACATCGGGTTCGAGTAAATTTTTCAGGTGTAAATTAGCGAAAGCGGGCATGTTTCAACTTTAAAATATCAAATAAAAAGTTTTGGCCGCCATGGATGGAAAGGAAGAAGAGATGAAGGTTTGAAGACTTTAATTACGAAGTATGGAAAGTGGTATATATATGATTGTATATATTTCTTGAAGAACAAACAATCAAGGATTGAGTTCGCGAATCATCGTATTATTATATATTTGTTTGTTTGTTGGATTTGGTCAAATCACGTGTCTTCATTCAACTTGTTCTTCAAGAAAATTACTGCTCAAACCGACCTAAGCAAACCTTTGTCCTCACACACGCTATTTATTAATTTTAAGAAAAAAAAAAATCGATCCGAAAAATTCCGATTTTGAAACCACCTCGGAATTGGAATTATATACATAAAAAAAAAAGAATTAAAATTTCCAATTTCCGATCCGATTTAATTTCCGAAATTAATTCCGAAAAATACACCTATAAATAATATATATTATATAATACCTATTTTAAGTTTTTTTCCTTTTCTAAAACAATAATTTGATTTAAGTTGTCTTAGAATTTTGACACACTGAATTGTTCTTAGAAGTTTTATTGGATATTATGATGTGATTTTTTATTTTTTTTTTGAACTGAAGTTTGGCACTTATTAGTTATTAGGTTTATTTTATGGACCTGGATGTTCTTATTTTTAGAAAATTATGAAGCTGATGGGTCCACGCCCAAAGGCCCATATCTACAAGCCCATAGAGGCACACAATCCAAGCCCAAATCGACTAAAGATAATAGTACAAGCCCAAGTCGGCTAAGGCCTAAACTGGCATGATCTAAACAGTTAGACCCAAGTTGACCCATATTAAGTGGCTTAGGCCCATGAGAATATATATCTCCATATAAATACCCGGAAACCTCACAATTAAAGGTACGCAATTCATAACTCCCGAGCAGTCTCTTGAAGTCTCTGAATTCTTCTATCATACAAAGCTGACTTGAGCGTCGGAGGGTTTTCGTCAGGATCAATCCCGGCGCCCTAACAACTTTTTGTGATGCAGGTAGTGCCCACGCGAGGAATCAAGAAGTGCGACGGAGGAATTGCAAAACGTGACGTGGAATCATACCACATCAGAAGCTTTGAAAAAATTTCGCTATGTTTTGAAATTTTAAAACTCATGTGATTTCTAAATTTTTCCGAAGTTTCGAAATTTTCGGACCTTTTGGAATTTGAATGAATTGTTAGATTCCGAAACTTTTGGAATTGGAATTGGAATTGAAATTGATTTTATAGCTCAGAATTTTTTTGGAAATTTTCTGAAAAGACTAATTATGATATGATCCATCCAGACTTTCACTCATATTCCAACCTATCAATAGATCAAAAATCAATAAATACCTAAAGAGGCTAAGGCAATATGCTACACAGCCTAAATAATGGCTAAAAATAGCAAGTGACAAATAATAAGAAAAGCTATAAAAAATCGAATAATACGGGCAAAACATCTATTTTTATGAACTATTTCATTACACTTGTTTCGGTTTGCGTTAATTATTTTTTTAAGACGATGGTTTTTTAGCCTTTCGAGATTATAGAGATTATACAGGGTTATGCAATTAACTTTTTATATGGGAAAATTTGGAAAAGGAGTAATTGATCAATCATTGGGTTTCTAAAATAACTGATGGCTTGTAACAAAAGTACTATAAATTAGTTTGAAATAAATTAAAAAAACGATTGAAATTGCAAAGTGACAAATAATTTGAAATAAGAAAATTATTCGAAGGACAAATAATATGAAATAGAGGGAGTACAATTTAGTTGATCTTGGAATGTCAACGGTGGTCTAAGAAGCCACGAGGAGCCAACAAATTAAAACATGGTTTGAATATTAAACATTGTTCTTTTTTGGACGCTCCAAGAAAACTCAAATTCCAATTATTATATTTAAAAGAGCTGCTCTCCTAATCATAAATTATGAGTATAAAAATTGATTAAATTCATTGGTGTAAACATTTGATTTAACTTGTAATATTGCACCTATTTGATAAGGTATTGGTCAAATATTAATTGAATATTTATAACATTTCAAGGGGGTGTTTCATGTTTGTGCTTACAAAGCTAATTAATTGATTCAAAACTTGACTACACTAAACTCAGAGCTGAATAATGCTAAATTCTTCTATGTAAGCTTTTGTACTAGTGTACTATCAACGTATGCTAAATGCTCTAATATATTTGTAGACCGTGTTTTTCTCATTGTAGGTTTCTTCACTAAACTCCAAACCCAAAAACAATTTCTCACTCGCAATAATAAAAATCGTATTCAAACCGAATCCCCTTTCAGTAAAACAATGCTCCATAACAGCAACACTAACGAATAACATGGTACAACAAACAAATCACCAGTTGATATAAACGTAGAGAAACTAAAGGAACAAGACTGCAATCGAGCTTCGTAGGCCACTCAACTTACATCGGTCAAATCAATCGCCGCACCTCCGAAAATAAAAGAATCAGATATCAAAATACTCCTAATTCAGGCCAACAGGACAATGCAGAATGTTCAGTCCGAACGCTCATAAATATGTATCTGCAAAGTTTCTTCAAAAAAGCCAAACTCCGAGTCTTGGTAAGAAAATATTCAGCAGATAATTAATTATGTACTTCTCAAGTGAAGTCAATCATGGAGAGTTCAGGGCGGACTTCTTTTCCTCTGTTAATTGATTGTTTGGGAGCATCAACTGCCGCAATAGTACCATTTGTGGGTGGTGGAGGGGCAATTCCTATTGTTACAGAAGGTTCCGGAACATTTGGTAGTACTGGCGAAGGCTGTTCCTGATTTTCTACAACTTTATCATTCGATTGCGGCAGAGTGGGACCGCTCGGCTCAGCGGTTACTGGAGGAACAGAAGCATCTGCCTCCGATTTTGATGGTTCTTCTGAATTTACAATAACAGGTTCTGCTGTAGGTGGACCTCCTATTTGAGCCTCTGCTTCTGACGTAGTGGATGTATTTTCCACATTGGTCGAGGGCGGAGCTGCTGTAGTGGGCCCTGCCTCTGATGTAGAGAGTAAATTCACAGGTGTTGTTGTAGTGGGCCCTGCCTCTGATGTAGAGGGTAAATTCACGGGTGCTGTAGTGGGGGCCCCTTCAATTAGCAATTGTTTGCCAGGTGGCGGCTGTGAACTCTGCAGGGCCAGAACGGGCTTTTTCAGACCGGATTGACCTGGATTGGGCCCGTATAAGGATGCCATCCCGGGTGGCAGAATTTCGATTGGAGGCTTCTTTGCTGAATCTTGGAGGCTCGTAAGCTTGGATTCCTCGAGGGAAGCCAAAAATGCAGATGCAGCATCCATTTTGGTGGATGGTGTGTGCTCTAGCTCTTTTTGTAGTGTTTTGTTCCATGCCTGAACCAAGCTCCTTAGTGTAGGTCGACCGTGTGCCTGAAGAACAAGAAGTAGAAAGTTCAATAGAAAAGTTCAGCAATGAAATTGAATAAAGGAAAAAAAAATCAAATCTTACGTGAGCGTGCAGTACAGCCTCTGCAAGCATTCCTGTATCCTGCCAAGCCTTTTCCATTAGTACGTTGTCCCCCAAAAGTGCTGCTGCAAAAGCAGCTTCCTGTCCCGAACCAACTGATACCAAATTCGTCACCAAATTCTGCAAAAAGAATCACATGAGGTCGTTAAACGAGTACTGTTTTGTACCGCTGTCTTTGCTCCGCATTTGTCACTGGTATAAAAAGTATTTAATCAACTATGCGCCATAAAACCGTTTGACAAATGCTAAATACAAATGCAACTTTTAATTGGCTAAGAATATCTTATTGAGTCATTACAAAAACCAGCAACTACCTCATAAGAACAATTAGATATGCAACATATAGTAGGGTGAGAGATAAGGAAAACATATTTGTAGGATTATGAGGAGTAAATGGTGTTATCCATTGTGCACAAACTTGACTAGGTAGGCTTTAACCAAAACGTTACATGCGTATGTGTTTCTACCTCATCTTATTAACGGCCCTCAATCATTTTAACACATTTGTCATGCTTCGATTAACTTTCAAGTATACTAAACGGTCAAAAAAGCTAGAGAGATTAGAGTCATTTTCAAACAGGTGCATGCCAAAAAATGATATTATAGACCTACAGATGTTATTTTTATAAGACATTGTGCAAATGCTAGAATATGATCTTATACATCTAATCCATCTTGTTCAGTTGGGTTGAATCCTAATCACGTTGCAGATATTTCAAATTTGTTGCACGGGCAAGAAACAATAACAGAACAACAAACAAAACATATAACATACACTGAGCCGTGTCAACTCCCCATGATTTCCTAGGCGCAAAGCAAGCCCTCTCAACTCATGGTCTTGTAGAGCTCCTTTGACAGAACCTGCAGCAGCTAATCTCTTTAGAGCTTCACGAGCAATGTCAGCTTGTGCAGTAGCATCGGCAGCATCAATAAGGTCAAGAAACTCCTTGGCGAATTTAGCTACTCCTTGAACGGCATCCACAACATCTTCCTTCTTCGATGACAAATTCATGATATCGTTCAAGTCCAACCCCAAAGCTTCTTGTCCTATATCCCTGCTGTTGCTCATTGTCAAAAGGGACTGAAGGGCTCTTTTCAGATCACTACTCTGCATTGCCAGATCGAATTCCAATCTCTTGGATATACCGGGCAAGTGAAGTGCTTCGGTGGCATAACCCATCCCAAGCATAAATTGTGCTAAATCATCATGGTGTTCTCTACCAAGCCTACTTGCCCATTTTACGGCACTAACAGCATCTCCATAGGCTGCAAGACATCGACAGCGAATACCAGGATGACTAAGTGATATTGCGTGAGCGCACATGTACCTATCGATTAGCCAAAGGGCCCCATCTCTTACCCCTGCAACAACTAGAGGCCCAACAGGTCGTTTTTGTTCGGCTGGGAATCGAGTAACAGCCACCGCAACACCACCACCACCAACAGCAACCTCATTGACTCTCCTTTCTTCGAACTCTTTCGGTATAGGTGAATCGTCCTCAACTTTAGATTGTTTAGGCAACATCAAGAAAGGTGGTATGGAAGGAGCATGCTGGAAAGAAGCTAGCCTGACAACTTGTAACATAGGGGGTCTAAATGCTATCCTCTCTTTTGAGACTGATTTTTGACTCTCAACTGTTAATGATGCTAATTCTCCATGTTCTGCAGAAGCTCTTGACTCTAACTCTTGAACCCGCAACTCTTCTTTCCTTCTCTTTGTTTCTACATCAACAGGAGAAATACCAGCATCGACAAAGACACACTCGATCGTTGTTGGGGTGGAGACAAACAACTGTCTTCGGTGCCAAACACCCCCAGTAGCAAATGGAATTGCCACATCTCCTAAGTACCGAAACTGAGGGCGTAAGGAGGATATGACGATATAATGTTGATAGGCAAAGGCACAATACTCGACAGTTTGGTCCCATGCGGTCCATTCTGGTTGAGGAAGAAGGCCACCCACTGGTTGGAAGGTTTCCCAGCTATATAATTGGAAGTTCTGAGGTGCAGCTTCAGCAGAAGACTTCTGTGAAGAATATCCATCATCCATGGTGCTAAAAGAAGAAACTGAACTGCCACTAAATCCTGACAAGGGCATGGACTGAATTGTTGAAATAGCTGTTGCAGTAACAGGGCTTATCCTTCTAGATGTTCGATAGGCAACACCAAGTAGTGCTCCTCCATGCAAACCACTAACTGGTTCACTGCGATTTCCAACTGACCTCATTAATATGTTTGATGTTCCATCGTCGAGCAATATTCGAACTTGAACACTGGCAGATGAAGCCGCTGAGGCTGCCGCTGCAGCAACTTGTGCAGCAGCAGCTGCAGCTTCTTTTGCTTTTTTTGATGAGCTGCCTTTAGGAATTATAGGCATTCTAGGAGGTAATGCAGACTCCAGCAAGGCAAACCTGTCTCTACAAGTGTCCCAAGCTAAGAGCCTTGCACTACCTGAATCAACGATCGACCAGTCGCTGACCTTATAAATTGAGAAGTAGGGAATATCAGGCCACACAGCCGCAAGGTACCTGCAGAAGTGAAGAAAATGAAAACCGAAACATCAACACTTCGTTCTGGAAAAAGGTAAACGAACATGAAATACATGCATGACCACGCAATAGGAATATATAATAGTTTAGATGCACTTGGAAGTTTCCTGCAAAACTGTGGACATAATAGTGCAAGATGGATTAAGCTTGAGCTGTCAGATCATTGTTAGGTAATGGATATAAGATGTCACTTACTTCCCTGAACTGCTCACAGAAAGAACTGAGTACGAATCATGCGGAACAGGAGTGTTGATGCGCTTTTTAATTTGCTTGACATGGAGCTGTTCTGGTGTGTCTCCCCTGATTCTTCCAGCATCATTCAAGGAGCCATTGCTTCCCAGAGCTGGATTTGTGGTGTTAGATAATTGAAATTGTAGCAGGTTCAATCCCCTTTCAACTACATAGACAGCAGCATGTTCCCGGTTTCCTGGTGGTGTTGGCAATGGAACAATAGGTGGGAGTGCCTTGGCATCAAATTCACAGACAAGGACACCAATGTTGGTCCCGGTTGCAACAAGATGAGGTTGTAAAGTATGTGCGACCATGGAATAAACCTACAGCAGAAATGCAAAATACAAGCTCAACAGGAATCCAATTTTCAGCAATCAACCAGCTAATGATCAAACTTAACAAAGATAACTCTATATTGAAATCAAACCCTAAGCTTCTTGTGAGATGCAAGCAACTGGGGAGGAACTAATGACGAGAGTTCACATAATGGCCTCGTCAAAGCTGAATAAGTAGGATGCTCAATTGCCCTGTCAAAGATTTGATGCTAAATTAAAGTTCCTCAATGAACAAGATCAAATACAAAGGGATGAAGCATCAAAACTACACCAATTAGTTACAAGAACCTCATTATTCGCTTACAAGATAGTTAAGAAAATAAAGCGCTTTGTATTACTTGTAATGTGGAGCTAGCTTGGAGAATAATATACATACCATATGTGGGAATCTTTAACACAAGTCAAGATGTCCAGATTTGGCGCTCTAGGGTGGCACCAAGATGCCACACTATGGCAAGCCAACTTTGAAACAGGTTTTATTCGACGCAGCTCCTAGAATGAGAATAAGGGGTTATGAAACAGGGGGAAAGGACATGCTATTGAATTCTTATTTAAAAAATGTAGCAAATTGCAAAATTCTTTTTTTGGACCTTAAATGACGTTGTGTCCCAGATAGCTAAAGTCTTATCTGCGCCAATTGTAATGAGTTGTGGTGAAGCACCAGCAACACGAGAAAGCTCAATAGCAACAACCCCACCATCATGTGCCTTAAATATCATAAAAAGATAAAAGTCCTTTAGAATCAATCATCAAAATCAATAAATCAACGGTAAGCAAAAAACTGTTGTTATAACTCTAGAAGAATAAACCAGTAGAAAGAAATATACTGAGTCAACACAATGATATTACTTTTAAACTTAGCTTCGGGACAAGTTCCCTTGAATCTTGACCATAGTCTGCATTCCATAGCACAAGCAAGCCATCGCTACCACCAGAAACCAAAAGGGCCTAACTAAAATGAACAAACACCAGAAGAGAGACTAATGAATGATAAAATAAAAACGCAAGGAATAAAAAATACATATACGATTTCCAAGACAAAAAGGAAGGGAGTCTAAGTCATGGGAATTGTTGAACGACCACTTCATTTAAGCTAAATCTGTTAGTGAAGTGAATCATTTAATATTAGTACCCTCATCTCTCTCATTGAAGACACCAAAAATATCACTCATGAAACATAGAACAAATTGCAAAAATAAAAGTAACGGTGATGTCATACTAAATTTTATTGTTTTCTAAGTTATTACATTTTCCATAATAAAAAGAAAGGAAAAGAAAAAAACATAAAGCGCCAAAAGGTGTTAAAAGGTTGAAGTAGAAGGTGTCAGAGAAAGAGCTGTTTGTTTTTATTGTTTTCTCATTTGGGATGGAAAAAAGAGAGAGAGAGAGAGAGATCAAAAGGAATTTATGGGAAATAGTAACATGACAGGAATTTCACTGCAATTGAGGGTAATAACTTCCTGCTATACCTAGATAGTAAGCCTGAAAAAATAATGTTTTCATTATCCTTCCCAAATGTTATTTTGCATGTGACTAAAGATCCAAGTTATAAGACATTATGTTTGTGTAATCCTTTTCAGAGGAGTGAGATGTTATTTGCATGCCAAGAAATGATCTAAGTCAATAGATTTTGTCTGTTATAAGAAAATGAAACCTAAAAGAGGAGAGGCGAATCTGGTCCACTATTACTTAAATGTCCTAAAAGGATAGTAGATGAAATCAGATCAGGATCAATTTGCAGAAGCCAAGCACATGCCCGCACTTAAAAGGAGAAACTTCAATATCTTACAACTGTGTCATTACCTCGCCAGAAGAAGCCACAAAAGTCATCAAACAAGAAATTGATCCCTTATGACCTCCTGTATATCTACGAGCAAGCTGCATCCAAATAATGCACCAGACAAAATGTCACTGATCCATCATATATTTTCTAATCAACATTTCCTGAGTAACTTAAAAGTCCAAATGTGGACTGAAAATGATATAAACTGGACATACCTTCCAGGTTAACATGGAAAGAACTCTAATCACACCATCCGATCCACCAAATGCCACAAGAGGACCATCACTAGCAGACGATCTATAAAGGAATTCCATACTGCATGAAATATGACTTTGTCATGACAATTGATCCTTCATGGAGACCCAACAGGCATTTCAAAATATTTTTCATCCCAGAAAAATAAATGCAAATAAAAACACGAGTTTCTTTCGTCATTATTAGGTCAACGGAAGATAGGAATCCCTGTAGTCAAAGGCAATGTGCAGTATAGGCAATTTCTATATAAGTTTTCGTCTGGCCGGCAGTAAATATTGATTATGCAATCTCAATTTTGAAATCATTCCTACCAGAAAATGAAAAGCCATATGGAGGTCGACACATGATGGAATGACAATTTTGATGATGGTCGATTAATTGATTATCTTTCTATAACTAAATACTGACTTTGATAAAATATATTGAGTTGTCAATACTCAAACAGTTGAGCATTCCATTTTAACCAGTACGAGCCTCACAACCAACATCAAACCAGAAACACTTTTAAATATGAGAGTGCTCATGTTTTCATGTCAAAGCAGTTTTCTGACAGTTACAAGAACCAACCTTTAATGCGTGCACTAGCAGTCTAGCACACATATAGATATATGTTCTCAATGATGTGTCTTAAAAACAGTTTGACTCATATGGTTCAGGATTAAGCATCACATATTCCTAGAGCATGAAAATTAAAGATAGACTAAAGATATATTGCAAAAGGTAATAATAGATTAAAGACTTGCCATAGAAGAGATTTGTTATCCAAATCCTGCTTTGGTACATCCCGGCCACGCATTGTCACCAAATCTAGAAAAATAGCCTTGTTCTCACAACATATTACAAGAAAATGCCGTCCTTTTGTTGATGAGGGACCAGGGGAATTGAAAGCTGAAGTGACATTGTTGACAGCTGTAGGAGCTTCCGCAGCAGCAGAGCGGTTACGCCAATGTTGCCAGTAGTGCACATCATCGTCATAAAAGCTAACTTGTTTAACACTTGAACCATAAGCAAACTATCAGGATCGGGTAAAAGAAATATGCAAAAGAAGTCATAAGTCATCAAAATGCAGGCATGGAATTATACCTCCCACCTCTTATGGATTCTGCACGTTTTCCTCTAGGCTCTGTGTGTACAAAATAATGGAATCAATAGCAATTGATAAACACTAACGCCAGTACATTCACTAAAAGATAGTATTTCCCAAAGAGACATAAGTTAGAAGCTCAGAGACACCTTTGTGAAACCAAGAGAGTGTTCTAGCACATAAACTCTGAATAAGTGATGACTCATACAAAGAATCAATCTTCACATATTATCAATTACACTCTGGGTTCTCAAGATGATAAAATTACACTAGAATTTGCCTCTTCGATTGATGGATTTGCTAAGTAACGCATTCAGTTCAGTTTTTCACTAATTAAAAATGCTATTTTCCAAAATGCAGGAGTGAGGCCAATAAGAAGTGCTGACAGCTCATTCTCTTGATTATCTCAAAAGAGAGATCACAAGACATATACTAAAAAGTCCCAGTAACAATTCATCAACATAAATCCATAAACCAATAAACTGAACCCCCTCAAAACTTATAACCAACTAACCCACTGGAAAAAGGAATCACAGTCATAGTTCGAGACGTCTCCACCTAAACGAACGACTAAGTGTATAACATACGCCCACCATTAGATATAGCAGTACTCACAATCATATATCAAGCTTCCAAACTACAATTAGACAGGAAATTAGTACTGGATCACAGAGGATCTCCATTACATATCTTCTGACAATTATTTTACCCTAATCTCAAACTGAAGGAATCAACACCAACAAAAATTAAGAAGAGGAAAAAAAGGCAACAAAACAAAACCTGTTTCACCCTCGGCCAGCTTTTCCAATTTAACACCAACCAAACGCCTCTGGTCCACACCCCCAGCTTTCAACTCATAAATCACCTAAGGAGAAAAAAACGCACACACACACACACACACACACACAATCATCAAAAGTTCAAAAAATACATCAATTTCGATCCAGAAAAAAAATTACAAACCTGGCGGTGCTCCCAATTCCAGACGGAGACGTGATCCGATGCATCGGCGGTGACGAGCCACGGGTGGGTGGGGTGCAATTGGATTTTCACGATCTTGTCGTTCGTCGGGCGAAACGCCCTTAACCGCAGCATTTTACTTTTTTTGGTCGGCGGAGCCTGGATCTACTGAATAGCTACTGTGGAAAATGAGAATTTTCAAAGCTTCTTCTCCACAGATAAACTGCTTCTTCTTCTTCTGGGAGAAAGCGGGTCGGTTATTCTGCCTCGGATCGATCCGGTTTCGAGCATTTCATATGAAAATGAACTTGCTTTTACACCGCAGTTGGATAAAAGGTAAAACGGAGAACAAAGTCTCCAAAATAATTATAAAAAAAAACAAAACAAATTATTGAGAAACTATTTTGTGTGTAAATGCATCGTTATTTTACCTAATTTCAGTAATTAATGGGGGGTTTGGGCATATACTACATAACATTTATATACAAACATTTTTTTACTGAGTTATGAAGAATATATGTATAAATAAAAATAAAAAATTTATTTTTGTACAATTGCCATTTATTTCTTGTTGAAATTGGGGGTGGTATCTATTTTTTCTTAGGACTCGGTTGCTTACCTATATTGGATTAGATTGGATTAATTCCTCACTAATTAGTTAATAATTAATTTGTTTGGTTCTTTAGACTACATGTTTAGACTACATGTTGTATTAAATTTGTTGGATTATGTTTTTATATGTGAATTAAGTCTTTTAGTTAACAAAATTAAGTTATTGTTTTAAGGATAAAATTGTAATTTCCCATTTTAGTCATCCCTACAAATTTAATCCGGAGTTACAAATTTCATGACGTAGTAGCACTTAACTGCAGGCTTCGACTTTAGTAGTGAACTTGAGTAGTGTTGAATCTTACCAACCAAACATCTTACTAATTCCTACTATATAAGAACTTATTGTGTGATTTTACACAGTTTAACGAAAAATATTCGATTTCATTGTTGGTCTAAAAGTTTTCTTCTCTTGGACTTATTATCTTTTATAATTTTCATTCATGGTCTTTTCCTTAATTGTTTGTTCGTCGATCACTATTTATGCAATTATTTTATTTCTTCCATAGTAGCTTAAGAGATTAGAGATGTTACAAACAATGTTGTCATAATCGAATCGACCATAAAATCGGACGACTGTTTGGGTCCCTATTCGCTGGGGTCGAATCGGTTCAACTAGATGTTTTATTTTTATTTTTTCATTTTTTTGTTATTTAATTAATTTTAATGTTTTAAAAATACTATTTCCTTTATAATTTTTAAATCTTCCGACTACTCTTTTCACTTTTATGCACTCCTTCAAATTTTCCACTTTTTATTTATCTATTTTCTTACAAATTAATCAAGCATCTCTCTTATATCCCCGTTTTTTCCATTATTTCTTCTCGAGATATACATCACCTCTATTCGATCACCCATGACCAGATCAGCCACCCACAACAAACTCCATGAAAGTTCGCTTAGATTCGGCTACAAATAACTAATTCCATGGTGATTTGAGTTGTTTTGGCTGAAAGTTGGAGTTCCTTGACTACTTTGTTGGTTTCTAGGTTTTACCCAATCGAACTGGGTTCCGATCATCGAGCCCAAATTGTATTTTTGCCAAGTTAATAGGTCAGATCGGAGCACCACATTGTCAGTTCACGTTTGAACCGGTATGACCGACCAGTCCAATCCGATTCTGACAACATTGATTACAAGCCGTCTACGATGGACAATTCAACTACTTGATTAGGTAAACACCATCTAACATTTCAACCAAATTTCACAAATTAATGATTATTAACTTATCAATTATTTAAATATTTTGCAAAATTAATAAGATCTTACACTGATTCGTGGAGTTTGTCGTCGAGACTGTAATTCCAATTCTATTGCATCATTTAGAACATTTCGTCCATTTCGTGACGGATAATTTTTAATTAAAATGCCAAAAAAATAATACTCTTTAAATTATTAGTATTAAATTACTAATGTACACAACACTTTTACAACTCCAACAATACTACTACATCAATCTTCTTTTTTCTTTCAACAATTTACATCATGCATTACCATATAAACTTTAAAAGTACATATAAATACTAATACAACATTGAATGGTGAGGTGGTTAAAATTCTTCAAATTTTACATTTAAGAATCAATAGGTAAATATTTTTAGTAGGCTCATAAAAAAAAAATAGATAAGATACACATTAAAAAGGGCAAATTACAATTATCCTCTGAGATATGCTCAAATTACGAAAACTCCTTTTATATTGGATAATTACCTCTGTTACATAGACACGGCAATTTGGTGGAATATCCGCGTGTCGGAAATGTTTTGGACACGAAATGCGCGGACACCCTTCAGATACTTCATTGGGTCGTGTCTGTAATTTCCCAAAAGTTGGATACGCATACGGCATATCTGAATTGGACGTACGTATCAGTATAAAAAAACCTTTTTATTTTATCAAGAAAAGCCTAAACCCAACTAAAAAAACCCTATTTTATTCTTTTTTCTCACATCTTATTATTCTAAGCCAGAAGTTCACAGGTTGTATTTATTTGAATAACTTAATAAAATTATAAGTAAACTGTAATATTAATAATAAAAATAAATTTTAAAAATTATAAAATGCACCCTATATTTTTTAATACTTATACATATCCCCACGTTCTCGTGTCCTGCTTTTATTGATAAAATGTTTCCCCGCGTTCGTACCTGCGTATCGTCGTGTCCCCGCACCCGTATCTATGTAACATAGATAATTACAAATACAATCACTCTCTCAACTATATATTGTCTTACACGTAAACCATTACAGTGTCAAATTTACCTATACTGAATGAGGGATTTTTCTCGTAACGCAATACGTAGTTGAAGGGGGGTTTCTTCGTACTTTGAGTTTACCTCAGGGGTTGGCCGTAATTTTCCCAATTAAAAAACACATCTTTGGGCAGTAAGAGGTGGACACAAAAGACTAAAGGTAGAAATGACTAAAAAAGACAGCCTTAAAACCATGTTGCCATTGTTCTTTACTTGGCCATAAACCTTGTTATATATATGTCCTATACTTTCCCTTCACTTATCAATATTCTTTTCCTTAGCTTCTCCATTCTTTCTTCCATTTTCAACATTTTCTTTTTTAATTATCTTAATTTTCATGCATTATAAAACTTATCTTTTCTCCTTTCCAAAAATGTTTCTCTATAAATATTAGTAGCAACCGAAGACGAATATATAGAAAAAAATGGCAGGTGGAGAATCGGGCCGCTCGTTCGAGTATACCCCCACTTGGGTTGTGGCACTCGTTTGCTTCGTCATTGTTTTCATCTCCGTTTTTGCCGAGCGTGCTCTTCATAAACTCGGAAGGGTATTTAATTTAATCATCACAAAAAAAAGCCTTTAATTATAAAATGCAATTAATTGTTGTCTAAACTAACTCTAGTTTTTCTCTCGATTTTTCTGATTAGTGCTTCAAGCATAAGAACCAGGACGCGCTATTCGAAGCGTTGCAGAAACTAAAAGAAGGTCTCTTACCGAAATTCTCTTTTCGTCTTATGCTAATATAATCATTAACTTATTAATTAATCTCTTGTAATTAATTAACTTAAATTTTTTCGATCTTGAATTATTCAGAGCTGATGCTGTTGGGATTTATATCGCTTCTGTTAACGGTATTTCAAGGTCTAATAAGCAATATATGCATACCTAATCATCTAGCCAATATCATGCTCCCATGCAAAATGGAAACTCTTCAACATCTAACTGCAAACAACGGAAGACGACTTTTAGCTGAAGTAGTTTCGGACAAGTGCTCCGAGGTATACACGAACCAACGCAAATTAATTTAAAAAAAAAAATCGTAATTTTTTTTTTGAAACCCTTTATTTATTTATTACAGGGACATGTGCCGTTTCTATCTTTAGAAGCATTGCATCAGCTGCACATTTTCATTTTCGTTTTAGCGGTCGTTTACGTTGTCTTTTGTGCATCAACCATGGTTCTTGGAGGACTCAAGGTATGTTTGTTCTATGCCTTGAAGAAACACTAATTACTCAACCATGGTTAAGTGTATAATATTTGGTATAATTGTAAGCCGTAATTTTATGGTCGTAGATACGGGAATGGAGACACTGGGAGCGCTCGATTAGAAACGAAGCATCAAGACATCACAGAGGTAAAAAAAAAAAAAAGAAAAAAGAAAAAAATGATTCTTTTCTTTCTTCATTTTCTTGTTTTTGAGTTAAAAAGATTAATTTTTGGTTTTTACGTAAATAATTTGAAATTGCGGTGGTGCGTAGTGCATGCTCCTCATTTACACTTACAAGAATTCATGGGGCGAACGGGAAGATATTGGAGAAAATTTCGTGTAGTGAGTTGGATGGTGAGTTTTATTATCTATATAGTTCAACTCGGTAAGAAATTCATATTCTTGAATCTTAATGTAATAACAATCTTCCGGTTCTTAAAAATGTAGGCGGCGTTCTTCAAACAGTTTTACGGGTCGGTGACTAGGTCCGACTACACAGCCCTGCGCTTGGGATTTATACGTGTAAAATTCCCCGCTATCGACTCTATTGCCAACAAAAATAAAAAAATTGAAACTGGTAAATATTCGTTTGTCTCTTGTGCAGGAACATTGTCCTAGCAACCCGGATTACGATTTCTACAAGTACCTGATGAGGACATTGGAGCAAGATTTCAAGAAAATCATAGGAATAAGGTGAAAACAGAGTAAATTACAAGTATATATATACATATACATATGCATATACATATATATACGTATGCTGACCGTCGCGACTGATACTTGAACAGCTGGTACTTGTGGATGTTCGTCGTAATCTTCTTGCTAATGAACATCGCAGGTACTATAATTAATATTTTTAAGACTTCTCCAATGTTTAACTCTATATAACACTTATAGGCCGAAAATATTGCAGGATGGCATGCATATTTTTGGATGTCCTTCTTACCACTTATAGTAAGTTAGCTTTAAATTCCAACCTCTCTCTCTCTGATATGCCTCTCTCTCTCTCTCTCTCTCTCTCTCTCTCTCTCTAACGTATGCCGTTGGGAAATGATTTCAGCTACTACTAATCGTGGGAGCAAAACTGGAGCATATAATAACTCAACTAGCGAAAGATGCAGCAGAAAGAAGTGGGGATGTCGAAGGAATACCAGTTAGGCTTTCCGATGAACTCTTTTGGTTTCATCGCCCGACGCTCGTTCTCTACTTGATCCACTTCATTTTGTTCCAAAACTCGTTCGAGATTGCGTTCTTCTTCTGGATTTGGGTCAGTCACAATCATATACATATAACGTATATATATATAAATACTCAATTATATAAAAATTCAATGTTTTTACTGTCGACAGACCACGTATGGCTTCAAATCTTGCATCATGGAAGGCTTGAATTTCATTATTCCGAGACTTGTAATCGGGTATCCACTAAACACCACCTTCTTCAAAACCGATTTTTTTTTTTTTTAATTTTTTAATTTTTTAATTTTTATCACTAAATTATTTTGGCATGCAGGGTAATTGTGCAAGTTCTTTGCAGTTACAGCACTTTACCTTTATATGCTTTGGTCACACAGGTAAACTAAGAGCTACCTACACAAAAGACTTCGGTTTATTTTTTTTCTTTTTTCGTCGTCGTCGAAACAACGTAAAAAACGGCTAATTTTATTCTGCAAAAATACATAATCAATTTGTTTTCAAAATTGCAGATGGGGAGTATGTTTAAGCAAACTGTTTTCGATGAGTTCACACACGATCTGATTCTAACATGGGCTAAAGATAGGAAATTTGCTTCCTCCGAAGCCAATGAAAGTATGAGCAAACTTACAACAGAACCGACGAACCCCGTTTGCCTCTCTCAACAACCAGTGTCTGAAATCGAACTTTCTTGTCCGAACAAATCCTAATATTCAATATTCAAAAGAATTTACATTTTAAGAGAGATCTAAACTAAGTCAAAGCTACGATAAAGAAGGCAATTTGAGAAGAATTATGATAATGTTTTTCGAAGGGTAATGATCATCACATATAAGTATATTATTATTTATTTTCATAATAATAATAGAAAAAAAACCGACGAACAATAAAAAAAATAAGCTCGACCTCATCAAATAGAAAAAAAGCTCGAGTTCTGATAAATCCTGTCGAGCCAACTCAACCCATTTACACCGCTATTTGCACCAATCCACACGTTTGAACTATTTTGTGAAGTGTAAAAAATTACAACGGATACACATATAACTTTTACTTCCATATTCAAAGCATTTAATTTACAGTAAGAGATATAAAAATGGATATATAATCAAACCTATAATGACAAAAAAAAAAAAAAAGACAACCTTAAATACCGAGTTTCTCGTGTAGGAAAGCTTCAGTGAGTGGGGGCAGGGGATTTGCCGTTGGCTTCTGCCTTCTTAAGAGCATTTATGAATCTCTTTGCGTAAACGGTGAAAGCAACTATAGTTATTATTGCACCAACGCACGAAGCGGCGTTGTAAATGATCTCCACTGTAGTTAGTTGCCGGTTCTTGTACTTTACGTCTGCTAATGTTCTCATTAGCCGACCCCTGATTATTAAAATAATAATAAATCAAGTTAAGAGAGAGAGAGAGAGAGAGACGGTTTTAGGGAGAGAGAGAGAGTGAGGGGGGCTCACATGTAGATGTAAATGAGAGCTTCGGGAACCATAGCTGCTACGGAGCCACATAAATAGGGCCAAAATCGCATACTTGTGACAACGATTACGTAATTGAATATTGTGTAAGGAAACGGAGAAATCCGAAAAACTGCGACTACTTTAAATTGATGGAACCAGGTTCCTTCTCCGGCCAATCGAATCATGTCTGCTCTTTCAGGCCATCTCTTCAACCATTGCTGTTGGTCGGGCCATAAACAAAATTAGAAAAAAAAAAACAAAAAAAAAAGCAGTGTTGTTTATTGCATTCGGCACCCCTGTATTTTCTCTAATTGCTAAAAAAACTCCCCGTGTTATTTTATTAACGAAACCCCCCCTATAATTCAATTTATTTTTAGAAAAATGCTCTCTAAATGCTCACTATTTGGGGGTTAATGTGCAAATAAAAAGCATTATAAAGGGTTTCTTGCTAATATTAATAAATGCGATAAACTCAGAAAAAGAAAAAATGGAAGTTGCTGATTTTCTTACATGAATGCGATCACGGAAGAGTAAACCGATGAAGTACGGGAGGACCATTCCGATGGTCATTCCGACCATGATAATGACAAAACCGAGTCCATAACCGAAAATCATGCCAGCTAGCCACATTGAAGGACTAGAAGGTAATAAAATAACCGGGAGCAATGCGAGAGAAGCTACTAGTACAAGCGAGAGTACCACCGGACCAAATGCAGTCGCCTCCCATTCCAATAGCGGATATAGACACTAATCACAGCCCAACACAAAGTAACACGTGAAAAATTACTTTCCGATTAATCGTAATAAAAAAAAAAAATCGGAATAGCAAAATGGAGAAAAAAAAAATATATATGTATATATACCTTCTCTGCAAGAAAGGGCACGCCCCATTTGACGAATACGAAGAGAACGAGTATGGTGATGAAAGACCATACTATGACCTTGATCCACCGTTTAAGAGTCCACTTTTTTTCGTTTCTTGGAGATTCTAAATTAGTATTTGCTGCTTCATCTTCTTCTTCGGGTATTTCGGTTTCGTTTGGTATAATCAGTTGCACGTACTCGCTGCCTTTTCCTGACTCGGTGGAATCTAGCATCTTCACCGAGTTGCCAGATGTCTGCCAAATGATGAAGAAAAAAGATGCATCGGGATTTGTAACGCATATCATTTTATCGAACTTTCCATATCACATTTTCCACCGAAATCTAGGAAATATACTAAATCAAATCTTTGGTTCACGAGTTCGGAAATCGAGAAGGAAAGCCCCTTTAGGAGGGTTGGTTTCACCATTTGATACATAAGTTAACGGCAAGTGAAATCCCTAGATATACACGAAGAAAACATCGAAACTAATCCTTCTTCTCCAAGCAACATACTTCAAAAATCATAGCAAATAATCGAAGTATAGATACGAGTTACGAGGTTATAGGCTTCGTGGTGTAGTTACTATGCATTCAATACTGGATTATCTTAAGGCCTAAATATACACCAAGAACACTTTCAACTACGTGTTTCACAAATCACAATTGAAAAAAAATAACACCAGCACAAAAAAACCTAATAAGAACTAAATTAATTTCCTTGCATACAAGATTCAAGAAAGATTCCATTTTTTATTTTATTTATTTATTATTTTATTATTTTGTTTTTGAATTTCTCCAGGGCATCAAAACAAGAAAAGGGGCTCTAATTCATTAACCCAGTTCTGAATTAGCAATACCCCCAATCTACACAGACAACTAATAGGGATTCAGTCAACGCGCGCGCGCACAGAGAGAGAGAGAGAGAGAGAGAGAGAGAGAGAGAGAGAGAGATCTTCTTACAACACAATTAAGCAATAAATCAGAAGAAAAATACAGTTTAAAAGTACACAATGATTTTTCGAGATAGTGACTTACTCAGAGAAAATGGGAGATCGCTGGATTGCTGCCCAGTTTTTTTTTTTTTTTTTTTTTTTTTTTTTCTGGGTATATTTGTTGAGACGATATTTTGCTGGGTTTTTATTGGTACATAGTATATACCTTTTTTCTGTCGTAATAAGACAGACGATCAAAATTGATGGTTTTTTTTTTTGTTTTTGGGTTATGGTTAAGGTGGAGCCTTGTGGTGGAGCGTGACGTCACTTTCTTGCTTCCCATTATAATAAAAGAAATACTCTGCCAGAATCAAGATGCGTTGTCATTTGAGTTGGATTCTCTAATATTAAAGTTTGATTTATTTTCTTCTAATAAAAATTAAGGCTTTTTTTTTTTTTTTTCTTTTTTGGAATTCAGATCGGATGGTTGAGTTTGTTATCAACTTAATATATATATATATGAAAGATATATATATATTAACTCGAAGTTGTATAAATTATAAAAGATACTACCTCCTACTCTTGACATTAATAACTTCCACATGATGAGTTTTCCTATTTTTTCTCCAATTTCATTCTATGTGTCCACTTGATTGGTTGACATAATTTATGAAAAAACATGTCATCATTAGGTTGTATTAACACTCTAAAACTACTTGTCATAGCCATTTCTTTTAGTTTTAATTATTTCCATATTTCAATTTTATTTAGGGTTAATTACAACTTGCACCCTTGAACTATCACTAGTGTCGCATATACCTAATGTACTATGAAATGCCATAAAATGGCTCTTCACGTTACCCAACGTTAGAGAATCTGTCACTTTCCACTAGGGTTGGGACTGAGTTAGTTTTTATCCACCAACCGACTTATTACCGACCATATTTTTAGACGAATAATCAATTTTTAACCGACCAATTGGATCGGGTCGAAAATTTGAACCAATCAATCTATAATGGGATCGGTTGGTGGTTTTTAATATTATCAAAAGTGGGTTGACCAACAATTGCGGTCATCCCAATATACTTTAAAATTTTATTAAAAATATAAAAAAAGGTCGTGTTTGCTTAAGCGGTTATTGAAATTATAAAAAAATAGTATTTTAAATTTTAAAAACAATCAACAAAGGAAAAAAGTTTGACATAAATCTTCCACCAATTTCTTTATACCCAAGCTTAAATAAAAAACCCACAAAACTCCACTAAATCTCTTGTGCATGTTTCAAATTACTTTGAATTTCTTAATTATATGTTTTCGTTAAATTGTTATTAATTATTTTGAACTGATAAATGATGATTGCACCGTGGCATTGATGCAGAATGTGGATATTTTTACTCCAAATTTTGATTTTTTTTAAGTGAACCAGGTGGCAGGTATAAACCATCAAACGACCCATTCCGAAACCAATATTCGGTTGCCAACCATCAATCGACCCACAAAGGTTGGGTTGGCAATGGTTTTCAAATTTAAGCAAAAATGATTTGACGGATGTGCCAGTTTTTGGGCTGGTAATCGACCGACCCAACCCAATCACATCCCTACTTTCCACAGTTGACCGACCATTGAATTGACCTTGGGATGTTTTTGGACAAAAATACCCATGTAGTGGTGTATAAAAGGATATACCTCATTCTTACTCTTTTTTACTAAAAAAATTGCACCCCAAATTTTTGAAAAAAGAAACTTACATTCTCAAAATTCTTTATAGTTTCTTTTTAAAGTTTCGGCATTTTACAGTTTCGTTTCCCAGCCTAAAATCTTAGCTGTATTCTTTTAAATTATTGATTTTTTTTTGCTGTATTATTCCCTAATTTTAGTTGTATTCTTCTGATTTTTTTAATTTATTTTCTGGATTTTTTTTTAATTTTACAATTTTATTCAAAGCCTAAAATCTCAATTTAAAATGTCTTCTGCTATTTCAAAATCTTTCGATTTCATTCAATCGCAGTGGAGAAGATAAAAGGGAAGAAGGGAAATTTTCTTACTTTTCTTCCGGTGTTCAAATAATTAACAAGCTACAAACTCACAAAATGGCCAAGGGTAAAAAAACTTTGCTATAGAAATTAACGGTGTTAAAGATGTGAGAGTTGAGTTGTAACATGAGGGGCCATTTTGTCGCATTTCGTAGTATGAGGGGTATATACGACACTGGTGATAGTACAGGAGTGCAAATTGTATTTAACTCTTTTATTTATGGACAATTACTAGAGGTCCCTTTATATTAGATTTTATGTGAACAAATTCAAGTCATAAGTCCCAAATTTTCATTATTTAATTGCAAACAATAAAATTTCGGGTATTTTCTTTTATTTCTCACCTATTTAACAGAATGTATAATATATTGTACACATTTTCTATTAAAAAACCAACAGTTAATCAGATGAGGTTTTTGGGTAATTACAAATAGGTGCATGATGATGTTTTTCGTTAAAAGTTCAGGGATATTTCATAATTTACCCTAACTGAAAAGAGAAAAGACTACACATTTTACTATTTTAGTAAATGAATTGCGGCTACACGCAATTTCCATATTCAACCACAACTTTCTTAGTCTCCCGCCTCAACAAAAGAATATTTAAAAAAAAAAAAAATTTTGGGCTGAACAAAATTGTTAGAAAATAAATAAAATAAAATCGGCCAAACCGTACCCCAGATGGTTACATCGGGTAATAATTGAATGATACACATTTTTGGAATAATTACTGAGTAACAGCACAATTACCGTCAGCATATATGTATCTTTTTCCTCTTACAGAAAAAAAGAAAAATGAAAAGTGAGAAAATATATTAGAGAAGATTTTAACTTGTCTTTTATTTCTTGAACCGTGCTTTGTATTTATACAGACGCATGAAGAAATCCTAACTTAAGAAGAGTCCTACAACTACACAACCCACTGTATCTCACAACTCTTCTTAACATATACTACGTAATATATATATATATATATATATATATATATATATATATATATATATATATATATATATATATATATATATATATATATATCAATACTCCCCCTCAAGTCGGCGCATGGAGATTTCGGATACTCGACTTGTGAAGTAAGTGATCGAACTGTTGTTTACCCAGTCCATTTGTCAAGATATCCGCCAATTGTTCACGAGTTCGAACATGAGAAGTAGATATTGTGCCTCGTTGAATCTCATTTCTAACAGAATGACAATCAATTTCAATGTGTTTCGTCCTTTCGTGAAAATCAGGATTAGCAGCAATATGCAACGCAGCCTTGCTATCACAATATAATCTCACCGGTTTATCGTGCACCACACCAAGAAAATGCAACAGCTCTTTTAACCACTTCAACTCAAAACATGTGGTCTCCATCGATCTATACTCCGCTTCGGCAGATTAGCGAGATACAGTGTGTTGCTTCTTGGTTTTCCAAGCAACGGGCGAGGTTCCCAGCATTACAAAGTAACCCGTTAGCGAGCGACGAGTGAGTGGAAAACTTGCCCAATCAGAATCACAATACGCATACAATCCCAAGTCGTTGTCGGAGCGCAGAAAAATACCTTGCCCGGGGTTTCCTTTTAAGTACCGGACGACCCGTAATGCAGCATCCCAATGATCCACTCTCGGGGTTTGCATAAATTGAGCCAATACATGTACACAATAACTAAGTTCAGGTCTCGTGATTGTCAAGTATATTAACCTTCCCACGAGTCGTCGATATTTCTCCGGATCATTCATGAACGGCTCTTTTGACAAAGCTAATCTATGGTTTTGTTCAATCGGAACAGACACGGGTTTACCGCCTAACAACCATGTTTCTTTGACAATGTCCAAAGAATATTTACGTTGGCACAAAAAAATTCCTTTCAATCCACGACTCACTTCTTTATCGAGAAAGTAATTGAGGACATCAAGATCTTTCATATGAAAGCAACGACCAAGGTATTCTTTGAGATTTGACACTGCTGTAGATTTGTTGCATGCAACGATCAATTCATCAACGTAGACCAATACGCTCAAGGGAGAAACTCCCTTACACCAAGTGAAAAGGGAATAATCTGAATATGACTGAGAAAAACCGTAATTCTTCAAAGTGGTCGCCAACTTCGTGAACCAACATCTCGGAGCCTGCCGCAATCCGTAGAGAGATTTTTTCAGTTTACAAACCTTGGTTTGATCCTTAGAGGAAAAACCAGGGGGCAATCTCATATAAACCTCTTCATGCAAGTCCCCATGTAAAAATGCATTATTTACATCCATCTGATGAAGTTCTCAATTTTTCGCAGCAGCAATAGCCAAAAATGTTCTCACTGTCACCATCTTCGCTACCGGGGCGAATGTCTCGTTGTAGTCTATCCCTTCTCGCTCATTATTTCCCAGAATCACCAGGCGAGCCTTGTGTCTTTCAATTGTTCCATCGGATTTGTATTTGATCTTATACACCCATTTGGACCCTATGGCTTTCTTCCCTGGTGGTAGACGTTCCAATGCCCATGTTTCATTATCCTCCAACGCTTGTATCTCTCTTTTTGCATAGCCTCTCGCCATTTTTCATCTTTTATCGCACAAATGCTTAGGCTCAATTCATGGATCAATTCTAGCCAAAAGAGCTCGATGGCGCCCAGAAAAATTAGCACAAGTCACATAATTCACTATGGGATAAGGAGTAATACCTGAGGATCCCGTCGAGGAGTTGGGTGCAGTGTGCGTGGGGGTTTGTAAGAATTGTGCACTGTAAGTAACATAATCCCTTAATAGAACATAAGACTTGGCTTGGCGGTGTCCCCTACCAAGATTCTCTGTTGGCCACGGTTCTTCCAAAACTTCATTTTCGACGCCATCTTGACGATCTGTTACCTCAACCTCACAGGTATTGTTTTCGCTCCCCCTAGCTTCTACAACATCAAACTCCGATATCCCAACATCATCATCAACTCCTACAATCTCGGCGGATCTAGGGTGTTTGTCGGAAGCACGTTCCAAATCCGCTTCAAAAGGAAATACATTTTCTGAGAATACGACATCGCGCGAGACAAAATATTCACCAGTTTCAACATCATATACTCGCCAACCCTTTTTACCAAAAGGATATCCCACGAAAACACATTTCCTACTTCGTTCGCCGAATTTATCTTTGTCTCGCCCTATGTAATGTGCATAGCAAAGACAACCAAAAACCCGAAAGTATTCATATTGCGGTCCCTTTCCAAACAGAATCTCATATGGTGTTTTGCCTCCAAGAAGTGCAGATGGTGTTCTATTTATCAAAAAACTAGCAGTTAGAACACACTCACCCCAAAACTTTATCGGCAAAGTTGCTTGAAACCTCAACGCTCGTGCAACATTTAAAATATGCTGATGTTTTCTCTCCACCCGACCATTCTGTTGTGGTGTCCCCACACATGAAGTTTGATGCAAAATTCCATGGGTTTTAAAATATGATGATAAACACATGAATTCTGTCCCATTATCACTACGAACCATTCTGACTTGTTTGTTAAATTGTCGTTCTACCATCACACAAAAGTTTTTAATAGTTTGTCCGACTTCATTCTTCTCAAGCAATAAACAAACCCACACTGCCATTGAAAAATCGTCAACAATTGTCAGAAAATAATGAGCACCACAAGACGCAGGTACTCTATAACCACCCCACAAATCACAATGAATCAAAGCAAAACAATCATCAGCTTTATTATCACTTTTGAAAAATACTTCACGAGTTTGTTTAGCACGAAAACAAATATCACATGGTTCGTGTGTCTCACTATTACTACTTTTAATTCTATTCTTAATACCAGAAATAAATGACAATATTTGATTAGAAGGATGTCCCAATCGTCTATGCCACAACTCATGCTCACTTAATCCAACGACTTTATTCACTCGTACTGGTGCAAATCCTCGGATATGGTAAACCCCACTGCACTCCTCACCCACTCCAATCAGGGTCCTCGAAGTCCGGTCCTGTATCACGCATAAATTATCAGCGAAAGTGACTATGCAATTTAATTCTTTCAACAACTTAGCTACATATATAAGAGTGCAATTCAAATTTGGAATAAACAGAACATCTTGCAAATAACCGCGGGCTCCCAAAGACAAGTTTCCCTCTCTCGATGCAAGGGTATTCTCAAAACCCACTGTATCTCACAACTCTTCTTAACATATACTACGACTCTTCTTAACATATACTACGTAATATATATATATATATATATATATATATATATATATATATATATATATATATCAATAAAAACAAAAAGTTCTTTATTAGCACACAAGGAAACTAAATTAATAAAAGAAGTTCTTCCCATACTTCAACGTACAACGGTCTCAAAGTTATATAAGCCATTGTCTGAAAAATTGTTTCACTAAGCAAATTAAAACTCACAATACTATAAAAAAATAATAAAAAAATAAAAAAATGTACGATAGGGGAGCTTCGTTCGAGATAGAGGAGGCCGCGGCGGATGACAGGCGGCCAGCGGCCCTGCCGCGTCGGGAGCTCAACGAGATGGAGAGGAGTTAGCTGCTCCGGCCGGTGGAGCATAAGACGACGACGAAGAAGCGTAATACTATCTTTCTCTGGATGATCGGCGCCATTTTGGTCGCCGGCTTAGCCACCGCATTGATCAGCTCAATGGTAAAGAATCTGCCGCGCCACCGCCACCGCCACCAACCTCCCCTCCCGCCGGATAATTACACGCTGGCTTTGAACAAGGCACTCAACGCCCAGCGCTGTAAGTCACGAAGTATTTTTTGACTATTAATTTTGTGATTTTTCAGAAGCTGTGAAATAATGTTACGTAATTATTTAACCCATAATTTTTAATATTTAATCTGTTGGCATAATTCATTAATTTATTTTAGCCCATAATTTTTACTGGGCCCAAATATTTAATAAAAGTAAGCCCATAATGTATTACCCAGCCCATATTTGTTACTAGCCCATAATTTCTGTTATGTTAATTAACCCAAATTATAGATTCCACCCAATTCCACTTTTCCCCCTTTATTATTATTAATCTATGATTAGTTAGTTGGTCGTTAATCTGTGAATAAATCTTGTTCCACGCATTCACATCAACTTTGTTCAACACGCGCCCTTCCTCATCTCCAGCTTCCAGTTCGTCTTCCTATTACGTATTATTACAACCTATGTTTAGTAATTTATGTATAGGATTTATCATTTTTTTAGATTTGTACTATAGTCGCATCTATGTTCATATGACGTTTTTATTCTTTGCATTTAGTGAGTAGCACTTTTGTGTTGGTTGGTTATTAGTGTTTAAATCTTTGTTACCGTTGAACTCTGTACTTTTCACACTTTCAACAGATTAATGCTAATTATTTTTCTATGGAATTTAATTTTCTTAAATCTTTGGCTAGATTTGCATAAATCGAATGGGGGTATTAATGACAATGTATATGGTTTGAGTTAGCAATTTTGGCTAGTAATTTGTTGAAATTTTGGCTAGTAATTTTGGCTAATAATTTGCATTAATTGTTGGCCAATTTACAGCTGGAAGATTACCGGAGGATGACAACGTGTCATGGCGAGGAGACTCGTGCCTGAAAGATGGTTCGAGTTTGTCGGAAGATCTGTCCGGCGGCTATTACGATGCCGGGGATGCAATCAAGTTCAACTTCCCTCAATCATTCGCCATGACTTTGCTTAGTTGGACTGTGGTTGAGTACAGTGCGAAATACGAGGCTGCTGGAGAACTCAACCACGTCAAGGAAACCATTAAATGGGGAACTGATTACTTGCTCAAGACCTTTAACAATTCAGCTGATACTATCGACCGAGTCGTAACTCAGGTAATACATCGACTTTGTGTACTGACTTAATTTCATTCTTGTTGTTTTTTTTTCCTCGCTGCCTTTCGTTTAAACAAATTGAATTATAGTGTTACGTATATCAATTTCAACCTACGTAGAGATGAAACGACTTGTAAAAAACGTGGAATTATGCTCTAGGTAATACATCGACTTAGTGTACTGACTAAATTTCATTTTTTTTTTCTCGCTGCCTTTCGTTTAAACAAATTGAATTCCAATTTTACGTATATTAATTTCAATCTACGTAGAGATGAAACGACTTGAAAAAAACGTGGAATTATGCTTGGTTTGACAGTTTATAGAATTTTTGTTTGTATGTAAAAATAAATAGACGGATCATATGTAATGCACTACAACATTTATGGCTTTATGCGACGGACTAAAACTGTCAGAAATAGTAGAAAAACCGTCGGGAACATTATGCTTGACGGTTTTCAACCGTCTAGAAAAAGGCCGTCGTATATACTTCTACGTGTAAAAATACCATCAGGAAAAAACTTTAACGACGCTTTAAGAACCATCGTAAATGCTCATACATATTTTAAAAACCGTCAAGAATACATTATCCACCGTTGAAAACCGTCGGGAAATCTGGTACATTTTTTTCAATATTTTGTTCGAATTAATAATGAAACCTATACAACAATTTAACCAAATGACAAATATTAATATATTTTCCCAACACAAATATAACAGATGCCAAATATAAACACAAATATTAAAAAACTTTATGAAATCTATCTTTAAAACATGAACTCTTCCTTTCCAAAAGTATACCAAACTTTACAAAATATATCTTCAAAACAACACTTGAACTTGAAGTATTAATACTTATAACAAAAACAACAAATTAAAAACAAATAACTTTGAAATTAATTAGATTTGGCTGATTAGTGGCATGCATATCCTTGCTTCGATGTACCATATAGTGTCTTCCTGAACAATTAAAAAAACAAGTTATTTCTTAATGATCAAATTGTCTACGTGTTTTTTTCATTTGGATAACTAAAAAACATCAAATTGTATTATAACTACTACCTTAATGGTCTGCAGTGATACTTTAACTTCACATCAACCATCAACTTTTCCAAATACTCCTCACACTCCTTGAAAATAATTATCCAAATTGATTGTTGAATTCGCGCATCAGTTTCTTGGACTTGAGGCCTGCTAGACTAATTGTTTAAGCTTTCCCTACAAATGATATAAATAGTTAGAAGGTGATTATTGAAAACAAAGATTATCAAAATATAAATAATAAATAACACACAATAAATTTAGAAGTCTTCTTATCCAATGTTCTCTTGGCAAAACCAACATGTGTCGCCATCCAAAAGTCATAGTATGTAGGATCTTCACCGTTTTCCATTTGCATCTGAAAAAGCGATTTAAAAAATTAAACAACACAATTTCTTTGCTTCAGCAAATATGCATCCTTATAGATGAAACAACTCAATTCATTTTAGAGCTAAACATTAGCTAAACTTAGTGATGAAGAGTGGGAAGTTAGATCACCTCATTCCTCACGACAGCATAACTCTTTTTTTCAGTTCTATGCGGCACTTTTTGGTTACCTCTGTTCGAAGCATTTTTTAGACTCATTTCCTACATAGAAAATAAGTAAATTACATTAAGTAAGTTCAGTACAATTTCCAATTGTAATTCCAGAAATATAAAAGGAAAACATATACAATTATCAAACCTTTACACTACTAGAACTCCAATAATGAACTAAAGTAGGCCATTAGTCTTTTTCCACAAGGTCAGGACAATTAGCCAATCGGTCGACATCCGTCTCCTGCATAGATTAATAAGATTTTTTTACCTCCGATTTCCAATTCTTCCACATTACGCCCAACTTCTTTAAGAACTGATGTTTAAAATTATCTTCAAGAGAGAAGTTTGCCTATAATCAAATATTAAAAAAACAAATAAGGTGTTGATGACTAACCAAAGAGAGAATGTAAGATAATGTACTTAGAGTAGAAAGATTACCTTGTACTCCAACCAAGTTATTTCCTTGCTATATTTGCCAATTTTCCTCCAATCTGTAACCGTAAGAGGAAATCGACTGCCATTCTTTGCTACACAGCCCATTTGGCTCGAGAGTTTTGCTGCATTCTCTCATATGGCTTGATTAGGGTCATTAATCTGAACCTCAAATTTTTCATTACCCCATGACGTGAGCATTTTTGTTCTACCTCGACCCTTTTTTGTTGTTTTCTCACTCATTCCTAAATATTTGAAAGTTATAAAATATTGAATTTTTTGTGAAAAATATAACATTATAACTAAAATAAGTAATATTTTACCAGGTGGCGTCGATGAAGCCTCATCTGCGTCACTATCAGACTCCATAAATTCAGCATCACCATTAAGTGGAATATGAGAATGAGGTGATGATGGCCTTTCTTGCGAGCCCGAAATCCGAAAGCTTCGCACGAAACTTCTGCAGAGATTCAAGAATGTCACTAACTACACGAATCAAACTCACTAATGATACACTATATTCAAAAAAATTGAAGTACTTTTAAACGTACCGAATTAATTAGAATATTGGAAGCCTTTAAATCGCGGTAAATTATGTTGGCATTTAAACTATGCAAGAACGTCAATCCTCTCGCAATATCAATCGCTATCTGCATTCTTGTACACCATGCCATCGGCTGTACTCCTCCTATACAGACGAAAGCAAATCAATTCCTATTTCCACACCACTTTTCGATTTTTCGATATTTCGATCTAAAAAAAAAAACATACTCTTGAACAAGTGATTCTCCAAGCTTCCTTTAGGCATGAATTCATAAACAAGCATTCTGTTTTTAGATTCCGAACAATACCCGATCAGCTTAACCAAGTTCTCATGTTGAAGCTGACCTAAGCATTTAACCTCAGTCTGCAAAATTCGACAAAGGCAAAAAAATAAGCTAAATTCTCCATCTCCCTGTGAGACAGATTTGCGTTGGCGCTTTCCACGATTCATAGCTTGTGTGAACGAAATAGATTTCTTAAGAACATTTTTTACGAATTAGAATTCATAGCAGAAACAAAATAATCAAAATTCATGTTTTTAAAGCTTATAAAATTCATGTGCAGAAAATCTAAAACCCCAAAATTCTTGAATCATCTGATGAAGACCTTATTCAGAGAATTAATCATCAAATATGCAAAAATAATCAGCACGAAACCAAACACTTGAGTTGAAAACTAAAAAGCGATTTTTTCTTGGTAATCAGGCCAAAATTTAAGGATAAAGCGATAATATATTTGTATGAATGATGAAGTTTATAGACTAAGGTTGCTAACTATTTTAACTCTTCCATTAGATAGAGAAAAATCTTACTCGGAATGGGTTAACTGCCTTATCTTTGATAACAATTAACAGCCTTATCATTGACAATGGTTCTACATCAATGCTAGCTCACCTGTATGAAATTAAAAGAACCAGATATTAGATTAAGTTCAACACATTTTGAAAAGAAGCAATAATCCCCTTTTTTCTATTCATTAAATTCTGACATTTAGTGCACAAACACTCTATTTCATCACCTAAACTCCCATTCCTATATGCAAACTTAAGAAAGGCGTTGACACCATTTATGTACTCGGACTGGAGTCGGTTTCAAATTTTAATCCAACTTTTATCCATGATATGCAAGTTGTAAAATAAATTTCAGTATATATGTTAGTTGATTTTCCATTTGATTCTCACCATTTTTCAAAACCTCGAAAGATGACTTGAGTTGATTCTTGATATCCTTGAGTTGATTCTGAAAAACTATTTTAACCTCGTTGATATCGAAAAATAACTGCAAAATTTGTAATCAAAATGTTAGAAAGTGGACAATCTAACTATTAAAAAAAAACAATATAAACTGATTCAATTGTGATTTATTTGGTCATATATATAACTATGCTTTAATTTCTACCTCTAAATATCTAATGGTTCTACAGCAGTACCATATGAATAAATTAAATATAATCATATGCTGGCAGATTGTACAATTAAATATCAGCATTAGAATTAAAAACTTATTTAGAGATTTATATATAATTTGACTTATTAGTATAAATTCAAAAGTATTTTCACTACAGTTTTTTTGATTTTTATGAACCATATGAATTCCATAGCTAATTTGTAGAAAACCCACAATATCAAAACCCAATCAGGCCAAAAAATAACACCAAGCGTAATTAGAAGAGATGTATATGTAATTTTGTCATAACCTAATTCCAATTTATGCCTCGAATTCGTAATGGTAGCGTTAGTGGCGCGTCGGAAGCGGTTGTGCGACGGTGGAAGCGGATGTGCGACGGTGGAAGCGGATGTGCGTCGGTGGAAGCGATTGTGCGTCGCCGGCAGCACTCTCGGCACGGTGGTAAAGGTCGCAGTGCGGTGGCAGCAATCGCGGGCAGTTGAAGCTGGACGGTGGAGGTGTTGTAGCACCGGCGGTGGTACTGCTGAAAAAGCCCTAATTGCGTTGTTTAGAGCTGGAGAGTAAATTTTATTTTTTTATGTTTTATAATATAAGATTGTATTGTTTAATTTAAATCGTTTAATTAGCCGTTTTATAAAACATTAAACAGGTAATCTTAAGTAGCAATTTTATTTTATCAAAAAGAAAAAGTAGCAATTTTATAAAACTTTATGTGACGCTTATAATTCGTCGAGATTGGGTTAAAAAGTGTCAAGATAACCAATATATTTGACGGTTATTATGCGTCAAGAATCTTATAAAACTGTCAAGAATACATTTTTTTACGACGGTTATGAAACCGTCTGGTAAAAATTGCGTCGTAAAAGCCCCAAAATGTTGTAGTGATGTATGAGGGTTTGTTGTTGGCAGGTGGGAAGAGGGGGCTTCCCAAGTGGTACCGATCCCAACGACCACTCGTGTTGGATGCGACCTGAAGATATTGATTACGAGAGACCTGTGACGGAATGTAACAGGTGCTCTGATCTAGCAGCGGAGATGGCTGCAGCTCTAGCATCTGCTTCGATTGTGTTCAAGGACAGTGTTACGTATTCGCATCAGCTGATCCGTGGTGTAGAGACGGTATTTCAGTTTTCGAGGGAGCGACGCGGTCTTTACAGCATTGAGAATCAGGCAGCCAATTTTTATAACTCCACAAGCTATTGGGACGAGTTCGTGTGGGGTGCCACATGGCTTTACTACGCTACGGGGAACATCTCGTACCTCGAGCTAGCGAACGCCCCGGCTCTCGCCACACGTGCCGGGGCCTTTGAGAGGCGCCTGTGCGACAGAGTTTTTAGCTGGGATAACAAGCTCCCAGGAGCTCAAGTAAATTTTATTTATTTATTTATTTTTATTTTTATTTTATATTTTTTTTTCCGCTTAGTAGTTAATAATAAACACTAATCCAATTTTGTTTTTTTCTTTTGATTTTATATATAGGTGCTTTTGACTTGTCTACGGATATTTTTTAGCCCAGGATATCCGTACGAGGAGATTCTGAACGAATTTCACAAGCAGGTGGAGTTGAGCATGTGCTCATTCCTACCAAACCACACCTCGTTCAATCGAACACGAGGTACATGTGTGAATACTATTATTATTATTTTTTGGATTAAGTGCATTTTGCCCCTATACTTTAGCCTGTTTTGCACTTTGCCCCCTATACTTTGGTCTGTTTTGAACTTTACCCCCATACATTGGTCTGTTTTGCACTTTGCCCCCTATACTTTAGCCTGTTTGCACTTTGCCCCCTATACTTTGGCCTATTTTGCACTTTGCCCCCTACACTTTGGCCTATTTTGCACTTTGCCCCTATACTTTGTCATATTTTGCACTTTGACCCCTATACTTGGTATGTTTTGCATTTTTTCCCCTATACATTGACCGCCAATTCACAAAGTTTTTAGAAGAAAGAAAAAGACAAAAAAAAAAAAAAAAAAAAAAGGAAAACGAGAAAAGAAAGGGCTGCCATCGTCTTCTTCAGTTCTTCCTCCAGGCAGCCGAACAGGGGAGCGGAGGCTTTCTCCGGCGAGTAGGAGACAAATGAGAATCTTACACCCAATTCACCCGCGGCCCATTCATTCACCGCCGAATCCAAACCCGCTTCAAGAGACCCGCACCCGCGACCTCGTCGCCTTCCCCACCGCCGCCACAGCCAAGAAACACGCCACACGGCCCCTTCATCTCCCGATGGGCCCCTCATGCCGGCGTCAAAACCCTCACCGCCGGCGAATTCCTCAGCAAATACCCCCACGTCCCGTCAGAAGAAACCCTATCAACCCTTAATAAGGGTCCCTTATATTTTTACATGATCTGGTTCATTTCTTAAGTATTCGACTGACATAGTTATTTGGAAACTTAAACAGGTGGGATGATTGATTTGAGCCAAGGACAACCTCGAAATCTGCAATACGTGCTCAATGCTGCATTTCTCGCCCATTACTTGAGCGCTTCTGACACAGGTGGCTGGTACTGCGGCCCGGATTTCTACACCCGGGACGCTCTTCGCCAATTCGCCGAGAAGCAGGTACCAAATCGAATTATTTTTAATTCCTAAAATTCATGCATCCAATTTTAAGTAACGTATCTATTTCATCTTTCAGATCGGCTATATACTCGGCGCAAACCCGAGAAATATGGTGGGCTTCGGGGATCATTACCCGAAGCACGTCCACCACAGAGGGCCTTCAATCCCCAACGACAATATCAAGTACAGCTGCAAGGGCGGTTGGAGGTGGCGAAACTCAAAGAAGTCGAACCCGAATACGATCGTGGGGGCGATGGTTGCTGGCCCCTACAAGCACGATGGCTTTGAGGACTTACGAGAAAATTACAATTATACAGAGCCCGCGATAACCGGGAATGCGGGCCTGGTGGCTGCCCCCCTAGTTGCTCTTTCCGGCAAAGAAAGCTCCGGGATCGACCGGAATACCGTGTTTTCAGCTGTGTCGCCGATGTATCCGGCCGAGCCTCCTCCACCGGCTCCTTGGAATATCCGGTTTTTTTGTCCAAAAATGCACATTTTGGGGTTCGAACTCGGGGCAGTGGGGAAGAATGTCACTGAGCCAACCAACATATTTGATAAAAAATAGATAATAAATATATAGAATATACAACTATGGTGTAAATGATAAATATGTTAAATAAATTAATAATTTTCATATTAATTTTAATGAAATAATTTTGATTAAATAATTAACAAATGCAATATAAGAAAAAATACATATAATCACGGTTCAATACTTCAAAACATCCATTGTTAATTAATATATCAATATAATCTCCACTATTGAAAAATATAAAGTATTGAATCAATTCACCTATGTTATTAAAATCGATAGTGCAAAAAAATCGAATGAAAAATAAAATAATATGTTTATTTAAAAAAATAGATTATAACTCATTTCAATTAATTTAAATCGATTTACCTCAATTATTGACAAAAACTTATTAATATTATTGAGGATTTTATCATAAGATAATTATTTAAAAATATAAATGATGTTTATTTTAACAAAAACAGATTATATCTCATTTCAATTAATATTCTTACTTTAAAAATAACATTTATATATGACTAGTATAATCAACATATTATGATGTGATTTCTCTTTTAATAATTGGTTTATTTTTTAAAAATCGTAAGAATTAAATCATACATCATATGATTTAATCTTTTTTTTTTTTACATTTACATTTTATTCAAATATTAGAATCGAATCGTAAGATATAAATGGATTAAGCTCAAGTCCATTCATTTTATTTTATTTTTTTATTATATTATATTTGTTAATAATTTAATTAAATTATTTAATAATAATGAATATGATAATTAATAATCTATTTAACATTATTTGTTATAATCATTTTACACCTTTTGTTTATGTTATATATATTCCTTGTTATAATAATCCTAACTATAAATATAAAAATATAAATAACACTATCAAATGATTATAATAATTGTATAACTAATGTTTTATAAATTATTAATTGTCATGTTGACTATTATTAATATTAAAAATCCCGACTAATAACAAATGCATATATATTTAATTTTGAAAAATATAAAAAAATACGATTTAATTTAAAAGAAAGATTGAATGTTGATTTTTGAAATTTTGAAAAAAATTTCAATTATTATTTTCACTTATAAATACTCATAATCCAATTTTCACGACTTTCATTTTATTTAGTTTATGTCTCAAGGTCTTAATCGTTTCATTTTTTTCTAAAATTTGTTAATGTTTAAATTCAATTATTTTTTAATTTTGAATTTAAAGTTAATCTCATGTTTTTTCAAGTTTCAATATAAGTTTTTTTTTTTTTTTTTTAAATAAAAAAAAAATTGAAAACCCGGGTTGGACCCGGACCCGGCCCGGACCCGGACCCGGCTTCTCGCGGGTCGGTTTCGGGTCCCCTATGTTGGAGATATTAATACTAAATGATACATTTCACTAACAGCTTAAGCTTTTGGTTGAGATGGTCATTTAACATGGTATCAGTGCCAGACCAAATGAAAGGTCCTGAGTTCGAATCCCACCGCCACCCAATTCAAATATTAATACTAAATGATACATTTCACTAACAGCTTAAGCTTTTGGTTGAGATGGTCATTCAACACCCTAAAAGTCGGATCCGGACCCGCCCCGCCCCGTGGCCATGTCTAACGGCAAGTAAGGAATATTATTTTTAATTTTCCTTATTTTAGAAGCTTATGTTGAAAAGTGTTTATGGTGTTTTCTGTTTCAGTGGTTTTTATTTATTCAGGCTCGATTTGTACTTGTTGATTACATTTTTTTTTCCTTCTACGTTTGTATATATTTGGTGCTGCCTTGTAAGTTTTTGTTTGAGACTTTTACGAGGCTAATGCTGGTTTGGCCTTTAATGTACGATAGGTATTCTCGAGCTTGCTTGTCATTGTCGATATATGAATGGAGAGGAATCTCAAGAAATCGTCGCTTGCTTTTTGAATAACTATTATTTCCTTGTTGGATCGGTTTAATAATATAGAGTGAAAACACGCAGCGGAATAACTTAAAATAGAGAGGAGGAGTAGTGGAGAGGAGATAAAAATATATTACTCACTCAATCAACACAAATATATAAACTCACTCAAGAACTCTCTTTTGATTCTCTCTAGAATACTTCTTGTTTTTTGACTTACTCCAAATGAAAAACTACATAAACTATTTATAGGATTTTCCTAGCATGTATCTAAACAAATACATGAACACATAATTAATAATATTCTTCCTCCATAGCATTATACATGAATCTCTCCAAAAGACACATTCATGTATTCTTCCACATTCATGAATTCTAGAACCTTCAATACTTTGAACTTGATTAATGAATCTAGCTTATTCATTTCCAACACGCCCCCCTAAGCTTGATTCACGCATTCCAAGTTGTCTCCTCAATTTCTCGAACAATTCTCTCTTGAGGGGTTTCGTGAAGATATCGGCAATTTGATCTTCGGACTTCACGAACTTCACTTGAACTTCCTTCTTTGCAATGCACTCTCGGATGAAATGATATCGAGTGTCAATGTGTTTGCTTCGATCATGAAACACGGGATTTTTCGCTAGTGCAATCGCTGATTTGTTATCGACAAAAACTTGTGTCGAATCTTCTTGAGCAAAATTGAGCTCATTTAGTAAGCTCCTTAGCCATATTGCATGACATACACTCGATGTCGCTGCCACATATTCAACTTCACAAGTTGATAGAGTAACTATCGGTTGCTTCTTCGATACCCAAGTGAATGCTGAATCTCCAAAGTAGAATACAAAACCACTTGTACTCTTTCGATCATCGGGATCTCCGGCCCAATCGCTGTCGCTATATCCGGCTAGTTTCAAATCTCCATTTGTTGGGTAGAACATACCCAAATTAGTAGTTCCTTTGATGTAGCGGAGTATCCTCTTTGCTACTTTGAAATGATACTCATTTGGATCTTCCATGTATCGGCTAACAAGACCAACTGCAAATAGAATATCGGGTCTTGTGCATGTAAGATACCTCAAACTTCCAACCAAGCTTTTGAATAAGGTTGGATCAACGGGTTCTCCTTCAACGTGCTTCGACAATTTGTCTCCAATGTCAATTGGAGTGCTGATTTCCTTGCATTTCTCCATTTTGAATTTCCTTAGCACATCTTTTGCATAGCCTTCTTGTGAGATGAAAATGCCATCATCTTGTTGTTTCACTTCAATGCCAAGATAATAAGACATCAACCCAATGTCTGTCATCTCGAACTCCTTGGCCATCTCCTTTTTGAACTCCTCAAACAATTTCACATTGTTCCCTGTAAATATTAAATCATCAACATACAAGCACACAATTAGCATATCACCTTTATCGACCTTCATATATAGCGCATGCTCATGTGGACATTTTTTGAATCCCTTTTCCAAAAAATATTGATCAATGCGGCTATTCCACGCCCTTGGTGCTTGCTTTAACCCGTAAAGTGCTTTTTTCAATTTTAGCACTTTATTCTCTTGACCACGAACCAAGTAACCTTCGGGTTGGTCAACGTACACCTCTTCTTCAAGCACTCCATTTAGAAATGCTGATTTCACATCCATTTGATAGATGTTCCACTTCTTTTGAGCTGCTAATGAGATTAACAATCTAATGGTCTCCAATCGAGCAACGGGAGCAAAGACTTCGTCATAGTCAATTCCCGCCTTTTGCTTGTACCCTTTGACAACAAGCCTCGCCTTGTATCTTTCCACCTCGCCTTTGGAATTCTTTTTCACCTTGTAAACCCATTTGACTCCGATAGGTTTATGCCCCGATGGTAAGGAAGTGAGCTCCCAAGTATCATTCTTCTTGATAGCTTCAATCTCTTCATTCATGGCCTTTCTCCACTTCTTGCTTTTCGACGCCTCCTCAAAGTTGATAGGCTCCGTATCAACAAACAAACAGAATAAGTTTGGATTCTGATTGAGTTGATTATAAATCTCATGTAGAGACCTTATCTTTCGAGGTCCTTCACTACTCGAACTTTCACCATCGGAAGAAGATGCAGGTGATGATGGTGGAGTTATTTCATCTACGGGCTCCTCTTCAACTTCCTTAGTTGCTGCCTCAAACGGGTAGAATGTGTAATGCTCCTTTTCTTGAGCATTCCAATCCCACGAATTCTTCTCATCGAACACAACGTCTCGACTGATTTTACTCTTCTTCTCAACAGGATCATACAACTTGTATCCTTTCGCAGCTTGATCATAGCCCACAAAAATATACTTTTGGCTTTTGTCGTCAAGTTTCTTTCGTTGTTGGTCCGGAACATGCATATGGGCAATACTCCCAAACACTCTCAAATGTGCTATGCTAGGCTTGAATCCACTCCAAGCCTCTTGTGGTGTTTTCTCAAAAACACTCCTCGTCGAACTCCGGTTTGATAGATACACAGCACAATCAACGGCTTCTGCCCAAAACTCCTTCGGCAATTGTTTGGACTTCAACATGCATCGAACCATGTTCATAATGGATCGATTCTTCCTCTCCGCAACACCGTTTTGCTGGGGTGAGTATGCAACGGTGAGAGGTCTACGAATACCGTGCTCATCACAAAACTTCTTGAACTCACTTGAAGTGAATTCACCTCCACGATCAGATCTCATCGCCTTAATGTGATAGCCGCTTTGCTTCTCGACAAGAGCTTTGAACCTTTTGAAGGTTGAGAATGCCTCCGATTTTTGCTTCAAAAAATAAACCCATGTTTTTCGACTATAATCATCAATGAAAGTCAAAAAATAGCGATTCTCCCCTAGTGATGTAGGTTCAATTGGACCGCATATATCCGTATGGATCAACTCCAACGGTTGCATTGCTCTTGACAAAGACTCCTTTGGAAAACTTAGTCGAGATTGTTTTCCGGCAATACATCCTTGACATACTTGATCGGGATGATCAATTGATGGTAGTCCCTTCACCACCTTCTTCTTGGACATCATCTTTAGTCCACCAAAGTTGATATGGCCTAGCCTCAAATGCCATAGCCAAGATGGATCCTCGTAACACGCCTTTAAGCATTTCGCCATATCGTGATAGATATTCAATAAGAACATCCGATTGC